TGGATTATGTACTGGGTTACACTGACCCATATTGAACCTTTCCAGGACCTCTTGAGCATACTTCCGTTGAGTGATGAAGATACCATCTGCCTTTTGTAATACTTCAATGCCAAGGAAATATCTCATTCTTCCAAGATCAGTCATGTCGAACTCAATCTTCATGGACTTCTTAAATTGTTCGAACATCACTTCATCATTGCCAGTAAAAATAAGGTCATCAACGTAAAGGCACACAATTAAAATTTTACCTCCAGCTGCAGTTTTAATGAATAAAGTATGCTCATAAGGGCATTTGGTGAAGCCTTCTTTGATGAAATATGCCTCAATGCGACTATACCAGGCTCGGGGAGCCTGTTTGAGTCCATACAATGCTTTTTTTAGTCGATAAACCTTAGATTCATGCCCCTTCTGTTCATATCCTGGAGGCTGCTCAATGAAGACTTCCTCAGTAATTTCCCCATGCAGAAAAGCCGACTTGACATCAAGTTGGTAGATCACCCAAGCTTTCTGTGCAGCGAGGGATATAACAATTCGTATAGTGTCCAAACGAGCCACTGGTGCGAATACTTCAGCGTAATCAATTCCATGTTGCTGACAATACCCCTTGGCAACTAGCCGAGCCTTATACCTGTCCACTACTCCATTTTCGTTGTATTTTGTCTTAAAGATCCACTTTACTCCTATGGTTTTTCCTCCCGATGGCAGCACTGTTAATTCCCATGTGTCGTTCTTCTCAATGACTTGTACTTCTTGATCCATGGCTTTCCTCCATTTCTCGGACTTCACAGTTTCTGTGAATGTTATGGGATCCCCATCAGTGAACAAGGCTAAATGTGCCTGGTTATGGGTTTCTTTATCTGAGAGGCCTTGTCCAGTTTCATAGTCCTGCATCCACACTGGTGGTCTCCGAGCTCGTATTTCACAAGGTGAGTTTTCTTCATTTGAAATGTTACCTCCTTCAGACTCGAGTTCAGTTTCTCCAGATTCTTCATTGGTTTCAGACTCTTCTCCATCTCCCTCGTCTTCCACTTCTGCTTCTTCTTCAGTCTCCCATTCGAGTTCAGTAAATATGGCTTGTTTGTGACCATCATCCCAGTTCTATTGCTGATATTCTTCAAATACCACATCTCGGCTAACAATTATTTTATTTGAAAGTGGATCAAATAATCTATAAAGCCTTGGATTCCTCATTNCTCCCGAGCTCATTAGAAAAACATAGCCTGAGGTACTTTTCCTGTCATCCTGATCGTCAGCATAGTCACTGTCCGTGTACCCTACGAGTTCTTCACTTCCTTCCTTCTTGTAGAACATCCCAAAACTAACCGTGCNAGCCTTGGATTCCTCACTTACCCCCAATAGTATGCATTTGAAACTCTTGGCATCAAGTTTTACCCTCTTGTTGTCAGGTACATGGACGTGAGAAATGCATCCAAAAACTCGAAAATAGTCCACTGATGGCTTATGCCCACTCCACGCTTCTTCAGGTGTTTGTTCTTCACAACAAGAGTTGGACATCGATTTAAAACATGCACTGTCCAATTCACTACTTCAGGCCAAAAGGTCTTAGGGATTTGCTTTGCTGTCAACATGTTTCGCACCATATTCATAATGGTGCGGTTCTTCCTTTCCGCGACACCGTTCTGTTGGGGTGTATCGNTCAAACTAACAATAAACATCAAATCGGGGCGTGTGGCAGTCAAATACATAAGACTTTCCACCATTTGCTTGTAAACAGTACTATCAACTTCCACTCCCCCTTCATCGTTCGTGAGCTTGAAGCCAGGAACCACTGGATTATGTACTGGGTTACACTGACCCATGTTGAACCTTTCCAGGACCTCTTGAGCATACTTCCGTTGAGTGATGAAGATACCATCTACNCATAATGGTACGGTTCTTCCTTTCCGCGACACCGTTCTGTTGGGGTGTATAGGCAGCCGTCAATTGTCTATGAATTCCATGCTCATTGCAGAAGTTGGTAAAATCCTGTGATGTAAATTCTCCCCCACGATCTGTTCTAAGGCTCCGTATGTATGTTCCAGTTTCCTTCTCAACTCTGGCTTTGTAAGATTTGAATGTGGAAAAAGCTTCTGACTTCTCCACCAAGAAGTATACCCAAGTCTTTCTGCTGAAGTCATCGATGAAGGTGATAAGATACCGTTTTTTTGCCATTTGAAATAGGTTTGATTGGCCCACATATGTCAGCATGCACCAACTGAAGAATGTTGGAGGCTTTCCACATGCTTTCTTTAGGAAATGGATCACGGTGCTGTCTTCCCACCAGGCAGTTTTCACACACCTTTTGAGAGGCTTTAAACTGAGGTAACCCTGCCACCATGTTTTTTTGTTGAAGCACTTTGAGCCCATTCCAGCTGAGATGTCCATATCGGCAGTGCCAAAGGTCTGCTTGATCTGTGATCAGTGAGGAGAAGCATTGTTGTTCCTTTGGTGTGCAACGAGCAAGCACAGAAAACATTCTGTTGTGTGTCATCTCTGTTTTCATGATTAAACCTTTCTCACTGTGAAAGATTTTGCATTTTCCATGTTGGATAAGTACTGCCAGCCCCTTTTCCTGCAACTGACCGATGCTCAACAGGTTGTTTTTCAGGTCTGGTACATAGAAGACTTCTGTGATTACATGCACAAACCCATTTACCTCCATTCGTATCTTACCCTTGCCTTGTACGCTAATACTTGAGTCATTGCCAAGCTTCACCGATTCTCGAAAGCTGCTATCAAGATCAACAAACATGTTTTTTTTTCCACACATATGGTTACTACACCCAGAGTCAAGAAACCAAATGTGCTCCGTTGCAGTCTCGTTGGAATTTACAAGAGCCATCAACAACATCTCTTCCTTTGTTTCAGCATAATTCGCTTTTTGTTCCTTGTCTTGCTTAGGACATTCCCATTGAAAGTGCCCTAGTTCATGACAATTGTAGCACTCTACGATAGATTTGTCGAACCCAAACCTACCCCTTCCTCTTCCTCGTCCTCGGTAAGTGCCTCTGCCTGCACCTCTTCTTCCTTGCTGGGAACCATGAGTGATCTGAAGTGCTTGTTCATCGTTCACATGTCGGTTGATTCGTTGTTCATGCACCAAGAGGCTGCTCTGAAGCTCGTCTATGGACATTTTGTCCAGGTCATTGGATTCCTTAATGGAGCAAATAACGTAATCATATTTTGAAGTCATAGACCTCAATATCTTTTCAACGATTACCACATCATCCATTCGCTCCCCATGCGTTCGCATCTTGTTAGCTATGGTGAGAGTTCTGCCAAAATAATCATTAACCGACTCTGTAACATTCATATGCAACACTTCGAACTCCTTGCGAAGAGCTTGCAATTGAGCACGCTTGATACGTGCAGTTCCTTGATACTTTTGCTTCAAAGAATCCCATATATCTTTCGTCGTATCCTTCTTCAAAATGGTCTCCAATATCGAACGATCAATGGCTTGGAACAAATAGTTCTTGGCCTTGAGATCTTTCAACTTCTGATCTTCATAGGTCTTCCTCTGTGTCTCACTAAGATCTGATCCTTCTGCTGCAGCAGTGATCCCTGTCTCTATTAAGTTCCAATACTCTTTGGAACGCAGAAAATTCTCCATCAGCATACTCCAATGGTCATAGTGACCATCAAACCTTGGAATGACAGGTTGCACGAAGCTATTCTCGGATGCCATGTCTCTGGTTCTTCACTTTAATATCTGAGTCACAAGTTTTGATCAGACCTCGTGAGGAGGCTCTGATACCAGATGTTAAAATCAGAGAGATAACAGAGAGCTTTGCAAAGTCTGATTGCATGAAAGCTGGGAGAATACTCAATTAACTTAACAACTATTCTGGCTAATAAATAGCCTTACAATAAGATAGAAAGGAAAAATAACCACCCACGACTTTACAGGTCCTATAATCGTGGTGCATGACTACATTAAACAGAAAGTAATCTTGTTCCTCAAGTTTAGGGAGGACTTATTCAACTTAACAGAAATAAGCCTAAAACAAGAGACTCTGACCCTAACGACTAGGAAGCTCCAATAGTTTTATCAAGGGGTGGGGTTTGTGCAGACGGAACTATGGGTGGAGGTGGCCATGCGATGGAGGTGGGTTGTGTGTTGTGGCAGTATCTAGGGTTCTACATCTTGGATTTGCCTCAAGTTAAGTTTGCAGTTAATTTTTGGTTCAGCCTATGTGGGTGGGTCTAATCTTGTCGGGTCAAGCTCAAGTTCAGGTCTTGATAGATGTTTATTTTGAAAATTTTAACCATTTAAATAGAGGGTAAAAAAGTCTTTTTGGTGAAATCATTAATGCTGATTGGGGTTTCCGTGTCATTATTAGAGTGCTAGGAGATCTCTGTGTCATTTGCCCTAATCTCAAGGGGTGCGGGTGATTTTTTACCCAATTCATTTTTTATTTGGAAATTATGTTTTTTGGGCGAATTGGACTTTGTAACCAAAAAAATTTTAAGATTTTTATTTTATACCCTTAAAGATTAAATTTCTCATATTGTACATGCATTAAAAAATGTTATAATATGGTTTTTCTATTAATTTTTGTTATTTTTTCAGTTATTTTTGANATAACAGAGAGCTTTGCAAAGTCTGATTGCACGAAAGCTGGGAGAATTCTTATTAATTGAACAACTATTCTGGCTAATAAATAACCTTACAATAAAATAGAAAGGAAAAATAACCACCCACGACTTTACAGGTCCTATAATCGTGGTGCATGACTACATTAAACAGAAAGTAATCTTGTTCCTCAAGTTTAGGGAGGACTTATTCAACTTAACAGAAATAAGCCTAAAACAAGAGACTCTGACCCTAACGACTAGGAAGCTCCAATAGTTTTATCAAGGGGTGGGGTTTGTGCAGACGGAACTGTGGGTGGAGGTGGCCATGCGATGGAGGTGGGTTGTGTGTTGTGGCAGTATCTAGGGTTCTACATCTTGGATTTGCCTCAACTTAAGTTTGCAGTTAATTTTTGGTTCAGCCTATGTGGGTGGGTCTAATCTTGTCGGGTCAAGCTCAAGTTCAGGTCTTGATAGATGTTTATTTTGAAAATTTTAACCATTTAAATAGAGGGTAAAAAAGTCTTTTTGGTGAAATCATTAATGCTGATTGGGGTTTCCGTGTCATTATTAGAGTGCTAGGAGATCTCTGTGTCATTTGCCCTAATCTCAAGGGGTGCGGGTGATTTTTTACCCAATTCATTTTTTATTTGGAAATTATGTTTTTTGGGCGAATTGGACTTTGTAACCAAAAAAATTTTAAGATTTTTATTTTATACCCTTAAAGATTAAATTTCTCATATTGTACATGCATTAAAAAATGTTATAATATGGTTTTTCTATTAATTTTTGTTATTTTTTCAGTTATTTTTGACCGAAAAAATAACAGAAATTAATAGAAATGTTATATTACAATATTTTGGGGGGTATAATATGAAATTTTTTTAATCTTTATACTAACAAGAAGTTGGCAGAAACACTTTTGAATCGAGGGTGCAATATAATTTTTTTTTTGGCTCTTTTACTACACCGTCTTATGCATTCTTACCTCCTGTTGGAGTTTCAACTCTCTCTCTCTCTCTCTCTCTATATATATATATATATATGTGAACTCTGTGATATATGCATGAGAAGAGTTAACGAAGCCAGGATAAGTAAATGAGGAATTAAAACTGCCAGTTAAGATCAAAGGTTTTATAGTGCTAGCACTTGAATCACGGTGTGCTGCAAAGCCTTTATATCTTGCTTTGCAATTGAAAATCTTGTCCAATTACTCATTTCTCCTATTTGTTATCGGACTTACCATTTTATCATCGTCATTCTTGTCATGCATAATCATGAATAACTCACCAGAATAGGGAGAAATTTTGTGATTTGTTGCTATCTCATCTGTCNAAAATCTTGTCCAATTACTCATTTCTCCTATTTGTTATCGGACTTACCATTTTATCTTCGTCATTCTTGTCATGCATAATCATGAATAACTCACCAGAATAGGGAGAAATTTTGTGATTTGTTGCTATCTCATCTGACCGTTTTGTTGCTACAATCTTAATAGATTTTTCGTTATTCCCACAAGGAGTTCATCAATTGAAGTATTTCAATATGAGTGACGTTCCTGTTTTGTTTTGAATCAAGTAGGGATCCGGTATATAGTCTTGATTTGCTCAAAAATGGAAACGTTTTGAAACAGAAAAAAATAAGACATTTGTTGAAACATCTTTATCCACCTGGAAACATTCCAGAACATAGAATTTCGATTTTTCATCACTCATTCGTTTCAGACTTTCAGTTGCCATAGAAATTGAGATTTTTAGGTTTTTTCAGTGGAAACGAATGGAAATTTTGTTGCTTGGTTTTAGCATAGTTTGAGTTATGTTGGTTATTTGTTTTCTTATTAAATAAATTGAACTTTTATATATGGTGCTTGAATTTGAAACTTTACATTTATTTATGCATTCTTTCAGGTCGGTGGAAGGCTAGAAATAAATTCAGAAAGTTTTGGTCTTACCTATTGTTAATCAAATTAATGAGTACACGTGTGAGAGATTGCTAATCAAACCAAATCATATCGCTTAATTTGAAGTTGTGGCCATGCACATATAGAATGATGTTACCCACATGGATTATAGTATACAAGGTATTTGACATTATGATTTATAATGGGAAACTAACCCATTTGGTGTCAGAAGGGTAAGATATATTTGTTGTTAACCAAACAGTGTTGAAAACAATGGTCTACTAGGTCAAGATGCAGTTTGAATTGGCTTATAAACATGATACAAGTCTTAGATGGTAAACATGTTTTTTGTCTTTATGACATTGCTGGGGATGTATTTATTCATTTTCATGCTAATTTTGTAGTTATATTATTGTTCTGGCGTCCAACTCGCCTTTGCATAATTGTCCCGAGTTTTTCCAAGTTGATTGAATTATTTAGTCACCAACATTTAGAAATTGGCTTACTGCTGCTGTATGATTTGGATTTATTACTCATTTTTTTTGGTTTGTTTTTATTCTCTTTTTTGGGCATGAGGTGTTTTTTGGTCTCTTCCATAAAATTGCAGGTCTCTATTTTGGCTGGTACCCTGGCTCGTTTGGATAGAGATGCTCCTCACTATAGAAAGTATGTGCTAGATTTAACATTTTTTCCTTTTCTGTTTGCTGCTTGGCTAGAGTATTCAAAAATATAAATTTGAAGTGGTCTCTGACAGTTTTACAGCTCAGTGATGACAATTTCTATGATTGATCATCTTCCATTCTTAAAATTAGCCCAATTATCATAAATTTGTTTTGAATACAAATCATCGATTATTTCAAGCCTCATTTCTTATACGGCCTTAGAATTCATCAGTATATCAGAGCTACTCTGCCACACTCACTCTTTATCATAAAGTAGTTTTTGAATTCTAAAGTAGTAGTATTGGCTATTTGTTGCATAGCGCCTCATTTTCGAAGTCCCTAAGTATGGAGGTAATCCTGGTTTCTGCAGAATGTGGCCCTACTATTGGAGCTTGCATTTTCCAATAGCATAAAAGATGTATATGGAGCTTGTGCACCATTGCTATAATCGTTCCGGACATGAAATCTCTCAAATAGGAACTTCTTCATGCTCGGAGGCAAATAAGTTTTCATTTTGCAATGTTCATAGCTTTATTGTCATAGTACAATTATTCTGATATTAATCATTTGAGTGCTTATTTTATATTATTGGTAGTGTAGGGTAATATTGTAATTATCTATAATACCAATTTATACTAAATAAGTGGGTGTAGGGCAGCATAGCCTACACAAAGATTATTCTTGTCTCTCTCTCTTCTTCTCTTGTTCTCTCTTTCTCTTAAGATTATATTGTATCATTTACTTCTTAACTTTAACTTCTGCCTTACAAATTTTTCTGGATGATGTAAATTTGTAATGGAATAATTGTGAACAATTCTCCTTTGATGTATTTCATATTTTTATTTATTAAATAACTTTTTTGGTTATATACCAGATTTGGCCACCATTCATGTGTGCTAACAGTTACTGCGTTATGTGCAGAGATGGCTACAATGACTTCAATACGTTCTACATTCAAGTAAGTATTGTGATACTAATGTTACTTTTCAGATAATTACGAATTACTGGAGTGAAATATTTGTTGGGATTGATTTGATCATCAATTTTTGTTAAAAATTGTATCCCTTCCATCGTTGTCTGTTCTTTTGCATTTTTGTTTTGAATGTCAGCAAGCCTAAATTGCTTTTTCACTCAATATTGAAATCTTGCTCCTGCAATTTGATCATATGGATTTGGTCCTATAGAAGGTTATTTAAGTTTTAGAAGCTCAATGAAGTGACTGAGTGCAGCTAATTTTACAGGATATTCTTTTTTTTTTTTTTTTTGTTGTTGTTGTGGTCTGGTTAGTCCTATCTTGAGCCAAGAGATTGATAGATGCTCTTATTACTACAGGCAGCTTCTGGGACGAAAGGTGGTTCAAGTGGTTCCCCTGTAATTGATTGGCAAGGCAGAGCAGTTGCCTTAAATGCTGGATTCAAGTCATCATGCTCGTCGGCATTTTTCTTACCTTTAGAACGAGTGAGTGTAGTTTATGTTATTTCTTGTGACCGTTGTCAATGTTTATGATGTTTTCAGTGGTGAGGCTTATTTCGTGCAGTTGACTATGAAAGCTGCGACTTAATACATTTACGTTGGTTAAGCACCATACTAATTTAAACCTGGAGTTTGGAATGCTGCCCCAGGGCTGAATTAGCTTGAACTTACAATGATTCACCAAAGTTGAGTATGTGCATTGATAATTAGATATTCTTCCAGAAGACTTGCCCACTTACATGCAGGTTTATCAGTGCTGTTAAAGTTGATTCAGGATGGGTCTGGGCAAGTGACTGTTTGTATTTACCAATTATAGGACGTAATATGTAGTTTAAGTAATTTTGGTGTATAATCAGTATGTCAAATTTCGGATATAGCTATTCCTACATTATAGTGTAAGGATTATGAATAATTTTCTTGTGACATACTTCAATGAGATGTGATTTGTGGAAGCTATGGAGCTCTGAGGAGAGTTTAACATCCTGTTCTTTGGGATCTGTCAAATAGGAAAATATAAATTTATAGCTGGGGTTTAGAACTGTTTTTGAATAGCTTGATGGCATATGCCTTGAAAGAGCTTTGAAGGTCTATGAAAAAGTTGTTCCTTTAGGGGGAGGGTGCTTTACAGTTTGAGGGGTGAGAGAGAGCATCTAGGGCAGCTGAAAAAAGCCTTAGTTGAACCATTTGTTGTTGGCTACTCGAAATTGCTTTGCTATCCACTCTATATAGCAGTTACTTTTCTCCATGTCATGCAGATCAGCATGACCAATTATTTCACTTCTAGCTTGTCATACATGTATTTGGAGATGTAATAATTACTCCAAAAGTGGGAAGGTAATAGAAAATAAAAAGAAAACTTACCTTTGGAATAGAGTTTTACCTCACATGCCTCAACTTATGGGATATGCCCTCCATTCAAGTGAAAATGGGCCTTATGACAGTTTTGTTAGTATAAAAGGAGGGATGGTGAACCTTGTGATATTCAGAAAGAAGTAATCTCTTACGTAGCTATCCACCCAAAGTCAGCAGTAAAACTGTCCTCGCTTTTCAGTTCGATAGTTTAATTTCTCCTTTTTTTCCCACCTTTCTAACATCATATTCTTTTTCTATCCCTTTCTCTTTCTCATATTCAAATCAAATTATTTTTTCATTTCAAGTACTTTCCTAATTAATTTGATTTTTTCCCTTTCTCTTTTTCATATCTAAGTTAACTTGTTTTGATATCAATGCTTTTTTAACGTTTAATTTGATTTGTGCAGTCAAGTGCACGTCCTTTTAGTTCTACCGTTCTCCAATATCTTTGTNTCCCTTTCTCTTTTTCATATCTAAGTTAACTTGTTTTGATATCAATGCTTTTTTAATGTTTAATTTGATTTGTGCAGTCAAGTGCACGTCCTTTTAGTTCTACCGTTCTCCAATATCTTTATTTCTTATTCATAGTTCACTTTTTAATTATATTCAACAAATTGGCAAATCAGAATGCTTGGGTTCGTTTATTTGATTACAAAGGCACTTTGTAGAATCTTCGTCAAAGTATTGTTCTTTTGTATTTGGCCCTATGGATAGCAAAAACCTTTATCTTTTCTACGTTACCAATCATCTGAATTTGAAAATTGGCCTTCTTTGCACTCCCTAACTGTATTATTAGCGGGTGCTTGAGATTTCCTGCTTTTTTTTTTGTTTTTTCTCTGGGGTTATTGGGCACTTATTTTGTGCCATATCTTATATTTATGGTATATTACAGTTCAAATTAAGTATCACCATTTTTCTAGTGGATGCTGTTTCTACATTTGCATTTGCCAGGCACAATGGAAATGTCTGGGCTACTACCTTTTTTTTTTTTTCGGAAGGAGGCTATTACCTTTCCCTCTGTGTATATAAGACAATGCGTATGGTTGATTCTTTGGAGCATGAGACCTAGGATGTTCATGCAAATTTGGCCTTTTCTAGTCTATTTGTTGTTATTCATATGTGACACTGGACTTCTATTACTGCTGATATTAACCTTTTAGCTTGGACTTCTTTTTGGCTTCTTCTGTGACTCCTTATATGCACAAATGTTACAGTGACGTCACAGATNCAATGCGTATGGTTGATTCTTTGGAGCATGAGACCTAGGATGTTCATGCAAATTTGACCTTTTCTAGTCTATTTGTTGTTATTCATATGTGACACTGGACTTCTATTACTGCTGGTTGATATTAACCTTTTAGCTTGGACTTCTTTTTGGCTTCTTCTGTGACTCCTTATATGCACAAATGTTACAGTGACGTCACAGTTCCAAGCACTAAATCTTGGCATCATATAACTTTCAGGTTGTACGGGCCTTAAAATTCTTGCAGAAAGGAAGAGATTCAGTTACAAATAGGTGGGAAGCGGTCACCATTCCACGTGGCACACTTCAGGTTTGTTGTTCTTATCTTTTTACAGCTTCTATTGTGGTCATTGTTGCCATTATTAATTTCTGTTAAAATTGCATCAAACAGAACGTTTATTATTATATTTCAATCCGAAGTGATCAGAAATTTTTAAAACAACACAAATAGAAGGTCAACAACTTCCCACCTGATCCACCACCCACCGTCAGACACCCTCATCGAACCACTACCTCCCCCCACTAATAGACAACCCCATCATCCCACCACCTCCACACATGACATAGTCTCACACTATCTCTCACCTTGTCTCTGAAAGCCACCATAGCCATCACCAAAAATCCTTGAAAAAGGATAAAGTTTGTTCCAATGGGAGTAATGGCTGTTTGGATTGGCTTTGGCTTTGGATTAAATATATTTTCTAGCCTGGAGGTATAAGTAAAATATTAGAGTTGTGTTGATGGCTGTTAAGGACATTTTTTTATAGGGGGTGCATTGTAAATTCAGAAATCATGAGGGTATTCCTGCAACTGTGCTAAACACTGTAGGGTGCCAACCGCCAATATAGTNGGTTGATATTAACCTTTTAGCTTGGACTTCTTTTTGGCTTCTTCTGTGACTCCTTATATGCACAAATGTTACAGTGACGTCACAGTTCCAAGCACTAAATCTTGGCATCATATAACTTTCAGGTTGTACGGGCCTTAAAATTCTTGCAGAAAGGAAGAGATTCAGTTACAAATAGGTGGGAAGCGGTCACCATTCCACGTGGCACACTTCAGGTTTGTTGTTCTTATCTTTTTACAGCTTCTATTGTGGTCATTGTTGCCATTATTAATTTCTGTTAAAATTGCATCAAACAGAACGTTTATTATTATATTTCAATCCGAAGTGATCAGAAATTTTTAAAACAACACAAATAGAAGGTCAACAACTTCCCACCTGATCCACCACCCACCGTCAGACACCCTCATCGAACCACTACCTCCCCCCACTAATAGACAACCCCATCATCCCACCACCTCCACACATGACATAGTCTCACACTATCTCTCACCTTGTCTCTGAAAGCCACCATAGCCATCACCAAAACTCCTTGAAAAAGGATAAAGTTTGTTCCAATGGGAGTAATGGTTGTTTGGATTGGCTTTGGCTTTGGATTAAATATATTTTCTAGGCTGGAGGTATAAGTAAAATATTAGAGTTGTGTTGATGGCTGTTAAGGACATTTTTTTATAGGGGGTGCATTGTAAATTCAGAAATCATGAGGGTATTCCTGCAACTGTGCTAAACACTGTAGGGTGCCAACCGCCAATATAGTTTTCCATTAAAGACAAGGCGTCCTCTGAGATTCGTGAGAACTGGAAAGTGGCAGTTAATTATGGATCTCCAAATGATTCTGGAAGTTGGATTGTGTCTTCTGGAGATGATTGAGTATGCTTGCGGTACTGTGTTTATTTATTTTATGGTTGTTTTTCTATGTTAGAAAGATAATCATTGCAACTGCATCTTCTTTGCAAAGTAACATAAAATGCTGCTTGTTTCTATCTATTCTGCTTCTGTTTGCCATTCAGGATTTCTTTTGTATGATTTGGCTTCAGTTATTCATGATATAGGTCACGTTTTCGCACAAAGGATTTGATGAGACACGTCGTCTTGGTCTCCAAATTGAAACAGAACAAGTATGCATTCTTTGTTTCTATAATTTAGTGATATAATAATTTGAGATTCGTGAATGCCTTACTAAGTTTTTGTCTGGATTAGACGGTGCGTCATGCTTCCCCGCCTGGTGAAACTGGTATGCTTGTCGTTGATTCCGTGGTGAGTAAGATTCCCTTAATATTTTAGGCTGTGTTTATAGTTCTCTGCTATCTAATATCTGCTGTCATCCTGGCCTCATGCAGGTACCAGGTGGCCCAGCCCATAAGCATTTGGAGCCGGGCGATGTGCTTGTTCGCATGAATGGTGAGGTAAGTTTACCATTTAATCTGTATCATTTGTATGGTTGGGTCCACATCCTCTCCATTTCATATTTTCCATCTCTACTCAGTGCAATCTCTTGCCATTAATTCAAAAGTGGAAATTGGTGAAATAAATGACAAGTGAGTGAAATGGACAGAAATGGAAAGAAAATAAAATGTTGATGGTTTTATGCTTACTTCATTAGCCATTGCTAGATGATTTTATGATGCTTGGACCTTTTTCTTTTCTACGGAACAATAGTTCGAATCTTTTATTGGAAATGTTTACGAGTATTGACTTTCCTCCCTTCACTTTTTTTCATCTTGCATTGTTGAATTGATTGGTTTCTGAGCTCTATTATCCGGAGCATAATGCCTTTTGCGTATGGTGAATCATATTAGAAGTTAACTTGAGCAAAATTCAAGTTGTCCATGATAATTAGAAGTCATTTGTTTCTTAACTTGAAGTTACATAGTTAGCATATTTAGACTTAGCGATAACTTAGTCATTTGTGCTTTTCTTTTATGTTGCCCTACTATATAAATACCTCTTGTATGTATTTTTCCATCATATTATACTGGCTTATTGTGCCTCAATAATATTTCTTTTTCTTTCTCTTATCTTTTCTATGATTGATCTAAGTTAACATGGTATCAGAGCATGTTTTGATCCCATGATTAGAGTAACCCAGTTCAAGAAAAACAAAATCAGAGGGTCAACGAAGGATGTCATTCTCACTGTCGGCAAATCTTGCTTGAATTCTCACTGTCCAAGATTTGGAGCCTTGGAGTTCTGGTTCATCACATCGTTGTTTGCTGCTCTGGGTTGCTGGGTCCCTGTTCGCTATTCACTGTTCTTTGCTGTGTTGCCGTCTCTGTTCAAACAAATATCAGACCAATTTGCTATTCTTTGCTACGTTTCTGCTCCAGTCGGTGGATGTTTCTTTGCTGGGTTTTTTTTTAGNTATTGTGAATCATATTAGAAGTTAACTTGAGCAAAATTCAAGTTGTCCATGATAATTAGAAGTCATTTGTTTCTTAACTTGAAGTTACATAGTTAGCATATTTAGACTTGGGGATAACTTAGTTATTTGTGCTTTTCTTTTATGTTGCCCTACTATATAAATACCTCTTGTATGTATTTTTCCATCATATTATACTGGCTTATTGTGCCTCAATAATATTTCTTTTTCTTTCTCTTATCTTTTCTATGATTGATCTAAGTTAACATGGTATCAGAGCATGTTTTGATCCCATGATTAGAGTAACCCAGTTCAAGAAAAACAAAATCAGAGGGTCAACGAAGGATGTCATTCTCACTGTCGGCAAATCTTGCTTGAATTCTCACTGTCCAAGATTTGGAGCCTTGGAGTTCTGGTTCATCACATCGTTGTTTGCTGCTCTGGGTTGCTGGGTCCCTGTTCGCTATTCACTGTTCTTTGCTGTGTTGCCGTCTCTATTCAAACAAATATCAGACCAATTTGCTATTCTTTGCTGCGTTTCTGCTCCAGTCGGTGGATGTTTCTTTGCTGCGTTTTTTTTTGNAATGTCAAACTGCATCACCAGTAATGTGGATTCTTGGAACGAATGAAATATGAGGAAATAAGCAGAAATTTGTACTTTTCCTCTTTGTTGATGTCTGTAATATGGACCACCTAAGGCTATGCCGAATTAGGACCTGTTCTGAGATATGAAGTTCTGCCCCCATCTAATACTCCCAAAATCTATGAAGATTATCATTGTCATGTTGTTTTTATAATTTTTGAGGCGTTTAAAGTCAACCATCTAACAGTTAGTTTTCCATAAATTACTATTAATCAACAACTTTTGGAGGGATTTTACAACAAATTAATAATATCTGGAGGAATTAAGTTGGTTCAAATGGTTGCTATATAATGATGTCATCATGTTATACCTGCTAGACTTTTGGAAACAATCTGATAGGCCTTAATATGTCAGATTACAAGATACAAGTGCAGTGCATACATATCACACACAAAATGTCGCTGTCAATAGTCTTACGATTCGTTGCAATACCCTTAAATGCAGAACTGACCAGTGGCTAAGGAGATAATTATATTTTAGGCTTCTGCAAGCCAACATGGGCAGTGATTACATTAGTTTACAACTTCCAAAATAATTACTCATAGTTGGTAGCATTGCTCATCTGTTGCTGCCTGTGACGAGAATGGATGGCTAGGAGGTAGGTAGGCTAGCTGTGAATTTAGATCCATCAGAAGATAGAAACTTGAAAAGATTNCCACATAGGAAGTGACTGGCTTTTACAGGCTCTTCTGAATGGAAGATTTCAGAATGTGACCCTTCTGAGAATATTTTGCAGTGGAATGAATCTAAACTAGTCAGTGGGTTTGGTTCTAGAGCCAAAATGTCAAACTGCATCACCAGTAATGTGGATTCTTGGNGTTGGAAAGGGCATTGGGTAAATGTGGATGACATTGGGTTCTTTCAATGAAAGATTCATGTCTTCTTTATCTTGTGGATCTGGTATAATTGTGTTATGAATGTGCCACTGCAAATTAGGTCTTAAACCTTGATGTGCATTGCTGTTTTGTCTTGTGATTCTATAATCAAAACGGTTTTCCACTTATTATCAGCCAAATTCATTTGGATCCTAATTGCACTGGAAATAATGTACATTTGTTGGTGACATTGGTCTGAGAGAGCGGTGAAAGCATTTTTTTGAATACACAAATATTCCACATAGGAAGTGACTGGCTTTTACAGGCTCTTCTGAATGGAAGATTTCAGAATGTTACCCTTCTGAGAATATTTTGCAGTGGAATGAATCTAAACTAGTCAGTGGGTTTTGTTCTAGAGCCAAAATGTCAAACTGCATCACCAGTAATGTGGATTCTTGGAACGAATGAAATATGAGGAAATAAGCAGAAATTTGTACTTTTCCTCTTTGTTGATGTCTGTAATATGGACCACCTAAGGCTATGCCGAATTAGGACCTGTTCTGAGATATGAAGTTCTGCCCCCATCTAATACTCCCAAAATCTATGAAGATTATCATTGTCATGTTGTTTTTATAATTTTTGAGGCGTTTAAAGTCAACCATCTAACAGTTAGTTTTCCATAAATTACTATTAATCAACAACTTTTGGAGGGATTTTACAACAAATTAATAATATCTGGAGGAATTAAGTTGGTTCAAATGGTTGCTATATAATGATGTCATCATGTTATACCTGCTAGACTTTTGGAAACAATCTGATAGGCCTTAATATGTCAGATTACAAGATACAAGTGCAGTGCATACATATCACACACAAAATGTCGCTGTCAATAGTCTTACGATTCGTTGCAATACCCTTAAATGCAGAACTGACCAGTGGCTAAGGAGATAATTATATTTTAGGCTTCTGCAAGCCAACATGGGCAGTGATTACATTAGTTTACAACTTCCAAAATAATTACTCATAGTTGGTAGCATTGCTCATCTGTTGCTGCCTGTGACGAGAATGGATACCTAGGAGGTAGGTAGGCTAGCTGTGAATTTAGATCCATCAGAAGAGAGAAACTTGAAAAGACTTCACTATGTCACAATTGATGCTACATGTTCTAGCTTTCATGAGCACTAATTGATCCGAAAAAAGTGAGGGTATCATTTGTTACATGTGATTATGAAGACTTGATTTGAATGAGGTCAAATGGGATGAAAAGAAGTTGATATGGGATGTCTACCTTGGATTGGTTTTTATAACACTTTGTCACCTTATATTATTAGTAAAATTGTTGTTTCTTATCAAGAAAAGGAGTTGATATGGGATTTAAGTTGTCATTGATCTTTAAAAGAGAGTTTTGAATTGTGATAGAGGATGATGTGTAGCGGATCCCCGGTTTTATATTTCAAGGAGATCTTGAGAAACTAAGTTGGGAAATGATGCTTGAATTGCAAACAACAACGTGCTCAAACTTCTATTTTTTTCAGTGCGCCTTACAGTTAAACTAATCTTCTATTGGAAATTTGCATGGTATCTTATATGTAGCATATAACTTTATTTTTTCATAAATAATTATGTACCTAATGATTGATTGGAAATTTTTTGGGTGGTGAAATCTAAGAAAGAATGAATACCTATAGTATGAGTTAACTCGTGAATAATTATGTTTCATATGACTAAAATTATTCATATTCAAAATTTGACAGTGAAATGCATTTTGAAGCTAATATTAATTTTTCATCTTTGAGCAGAATATTTTCATCACTATTCTATGTTATCTATACATAAGATAAGACTTGGCATTTAAAATAAGANCCGAAAAAAGTGAGGGTATCATTTGTTACATGTGATTATGAAGACTTGATTTGAATGAGGTCAAATGGGATGAAAAGAAGTTGATATGGGATGTCTACCTTGGATTGGTTTTTATAACACTTTGTCACCTTATATTATTAGTAAAATTGTTGTTTCTTATCAAGAAAAGGAGTTGATATGGGATTTAAGTTGTCATTGATCTTTAAAAGAGAGTTTTGAATTGTGATAGAGGATGATGTGTAGCGGATCCCCGGTTTTATATTTCAAGGAGATCTTGAGAAACTAAGTTGGGAAATGATGCTTGAATTGCAAACAACAACGTGCTCAAACTTCTATTTTTTTCAGTGCGCCTTACAGTTAAACTAATCTTCTATTGGAAATTTGCATGGTATCTTATATGTAGCATATAACTTTATTTTTTCATAAATAATTATGTACCTAATGATTGATTGGAAATTTTTTGGGTGGTGAAATCTAAGAAAGAATGAATACCTATAGTATGAGTTAACTCGTGAATAATTATGTTTCATATGACTAAAATTATTCATATTCAAAATTTGACAGTGAAATGCTTTTTGAAGCTAATATTAATTTTTCATCTTTGAGCAGAATATTTTCATCACTATTCTATGTTATCTATGCATAAGATAAGACTTGGCATTTAAAATAATATGGCCTGCTTTGTTTGGTTGGTGCTTTCATTTGTTCTGAGAACTGAACTTTTGTAGCCCTTGTTTCTAATTTTAAATTGAGTTTTCTTCTCTAGTACCATGTGGTCTCTGCTTTGGTTCTATGCTTGCTTTAGATGTTTCTGGAGATGAATATTTAATGAAAAATAATTTTTGAAACTTTAATGTGGTTTATGTTTTCACTTCAAGAAACCGTGTGTTGGTGACTTACATAAGCAATTGTGTACGATATGGCTGTTATTTCCAGTACTATAATGTTATTGTTTTGCTTTGTTGCAAAGCTAATTTGTTATCCTAATGCTGCTTCAGGTTCAGAACTTGCACTCAATAACTCCTGACTACTTCTTGGAAGTTAGTGGTGCTGTGATTCAGCCACTTTCTTATCAACAGGTTGGTCACATTATGATGCCTTTGCTTACTACAAGTTTCAATGCCTTGGCCAGAGAGACTTCTATTACTAGGATTATCCGCTGAGTATGATTTATGTGCATTTTGTACTCTGCCATGTTGCATAAACACTCTGACCGAAAAAAAATGCTGCATAAACACTAGGGAACACAGATTTTGCACACAGCCTATACTGGCCATGGGGGTGTTTATGATNTAATTATGTTTCATATGACTAAAATTATTCATATTCAAAATTTGACAGTGAAATGCTTTTTGAAGCTAATATTAATTTTTCATCTTTGAGCAGAATATTTTCATCACTATTCTATGTTATCTATGCATAAGATAAGACTTGGCATTTAAAATAATATGGCCTGCTTTGTTTGGTTGGTGCTTTCATTTGTTCTGAGAACTGAACTTTTGTAGCCCTTGTTTCTAATTTTAAATTGAGTTTTCTTCTCTAGTACCATGTGGTCTCTGCTTTGGTTCTATGCTTGCTTTAGATGTTTCTGGAGATGAATATTTAATGAAAAATAATTTTTGAAACTTTAATGTGGTTTATGTTTTCACTTCAAGAAACCGTGTGTTGGTGACTTACATAAGCAATTGTGTACGATATGGCTGTTATTTCCAGTACTATAATGTTATTGTTTGCTTTGTTGCAAAGCTAATTTGTTATCCTAATGCTGCTTCAGGTTCAGAACTTGCACTCAATAACTCCTGACTACTTCTTGGAAGTTAGTGGTGCTGTGATTCAGCCACTTTCTTATCAACAGGTTGGTCACATTATGATGCCTTTGCTTACTACAAGTTTCAATGCCTTGGCCAGAGAGACTTCTATTACTAGGATTATCCGCTGAGTATGATTTATGTGCATTTTGTACTCTGCCATGTTGCATAAACACTCTGACCAAAAAAAAATGTTGCATAAACACTAGGGAACACAGATTTTGCACACAGCCTATACTGGCCATGGGGGTGTTTATGATGTATGTGTTTGACTCACTTTCTATTGGATCCTTGCAAAATGGCTGTGGTTCAGAAGGGTTCACAAGGGTGAGAGTAATACATTTCTAGTTTCTTGTAAATATGTAAAACTCTGTTTTAGTGTGCTCTTGGATTGCCTGGATATTTCAAAATGGATGAAAACCCCATTCTTAGCATATTTTCGCAAAATACCTTTTTTTAGCTCCATTCTCAAATATCATGTGGTTTCAAGGAGAAGAAGTAGATGATTGGATTATCTATTGTTGCCCTCATGCCATAACATTTAAGAGTTAGACATTTTTTAGTTAAAGAAACTAGCTTGTTGCATGCCAACGTCTATTTAATGCCAACATTTTTGCGTCATATGAAATAAGCACAACTTCTAATATGGTTAACGAATGTATGATAGGCCCCATCAAGGGTAAAAATTCCCACAAATTGAATTAAAGAATTTGTAAGGGTATGCATTCATCCTCCCAGAAAAAATGCCCTATCCATATTTCATTATGCTTTGGTATCCTTGAAAAAGTTTTCCAAGGACAAAAATGACTTCTCTGCCAGCTCAGTTGCATCCAACATCCTTTAAGGACCTACTCAGTTTTTATACTCAAATTGGAGTTCTGCTCTTTATGGGACCTCCACAGCCATTTGCTGACATAGCCTTATACGTAAGAGTTTCATCGTTTGTTTTAACACATTCACACATCTTCATTTAAAAACTCACTCTGTCCAGGTGTTTTGACTGAATTGACATTTTCTCATCTGAAGTTAAAATACAAAAAAGTACTTAATCTAGTTCTATGTTGTCGTGACATGTGTCAATCTTCTTTTTCTAGATGTAGGTATCCAGCTGCTAATATTGATCATCTTTGGGAATTTCATGACTTACTTTCCTCTTTTCTTAATACAGGCTAGAAATTTCCGTTTCCATTCTGGTCTTGTCTATGTTACCGAACCAGGGTATGTATATTATTTTTCGTGTTAAGTTAGAGTGCTAATTTAATTCTTAGTTGATATTTGTTTCAAACTGGGATAGATTCTTGTTGAGAAATGCAGGTATATGCTATTTAGGGCTGGAGTTCCACGGCATGCCATCATTAAGAAGTTTGCAGGAGAAGAAATATGCTGTCTTGAAGACCTAATCTTGGTACTATCTAAACTGTCAAGGGGTGCAAGAATACCATTGGAATTTGTAAGATACACTGATCGTCATCGAAGAAAGGTAATGATGATTATCTTTTAGCATCTTTGGAAAAACCTCCTTTTAAACAAAATCTACTTGTAGACGTAGTCTGAAATTAATTTTGAATGAGATAGGGAAAAAAGATATGATTGCTTGCAATTTAATAGAATATATGACCCTTAACAAAGCACAATGAAAATATAGGAGTCATGTAGCTGATCCCATATGGTTGGGACAAGGATTTATTGAGTTGAGGTTAACTGCAAGACCAAAACGGGGTGCAAAGAACCAAAAGCCCTTACTTTTAAGTTCCTCTCCAATACATGGCTTACATACCTGGCTCAACATTCTTGGAAAATTGAATGGATTTTATGTAGAATTTTTGCTTATTTTTGATCCAGGATTAAGTTGGGGATAATAGTTCAAGAGGCCACACTAATAAGAAAACAGTGGCAATCCTAATACAAAAATGGTTTGATTTTTATTTAGTGATGAAAAACAGGAAATTATTTCCTAATCCAGTTGTCATATGTGGGTTGTTCTTAAAACCCTCTTCTCATGCTCTCTGGATGCGAGCACATAAACATGTATCTATGTATTTGTAAGATATGTATATGACAATTNAAAACAGGAAATTATTTCCTAATCCAGTTGTCATATGTGGGTTGTTCTTAAAACCCCCTTCTCATGCTCTCTGGATGCGAGCACATAAACATGTATCTATGTATTTGTAAGATATGTATATGACTATTTTTTTTTTTTGCTATTGATGTATATGAATATTTACATACATTTGTTTGTATGTGTATTTGTCCATGTATTTGTTTATTTTGTCAAGATTGACGCTTCATCTGGCTGCAGTCTGTCCTAGTCACAGTTGACGGCCATGAGTGGTATGCCCCTCCTCAGATATACACTCGTGATGATGGTTCTGGTTTATGGACAGCAAAGCCTGCTTTGCCACCTGACTGCCCTCTTTTATCATCTGCCACCAAACATGTTGGACAAGGTCTAGCAAACCACATACTTTCATCAGATGCTAGCGAGGCTAGTCCAATGGAACATGTCCATCACACTATCAGCCAAGAATCTTCTGATGGTGTAACCAGTATCGAAACTAGTGATGAATATGTCGCTGAAGGCCAAGCTTCTAGGGATGAATCTGATTTTGGAACAAAAAAGCTGCAGGAGGAGGAGAATTCATCTGCTGATGGACTTGTTATTGCTGATGGTTCTTTAGATGAGCCCACAGAAGTGGGATTGGAGGACTCAAAAACCTTGGAAGATGCAGTTTTAAGAGATTATCAAGGTGCCGCAGCTGCCGCAGCTAATGCTTCAGTTGCTGAGCGTGTGATAGAGCCTACTCTTGTAATGCTCGAGGTACTTTGTCAAGGACTCCTGATACTGTGGCTTGCTATGCTTTTACTCACTATAATTTTGTTTATTCATCTTCTTTCTGTTTAAGTGAACTTTCATCTGTGAAAATTATGCATATGTATTGTTGCTGGATGAGATTAAACATTTAATTTGAATGCCAAGGCATACCTGGGTGATTATGGATGAACCCAGATGGAGGAGTGTTAAGCATGTAAAACACCTTTGAGCTCCAACATTTATCGACTAGACTTTATTATATAATCTGTTACTAGAACTGTTTGTGTTTTTCCATACATGATATGCTTGCTAGTTGACAATAATGTCCCATGTATCTTGTCTGAAAAAAATTTATTGTTGTAAAGCGTAGAACAAGGGACATTAAATCTAAATATGATTTTTTGGTTGCCATTAGCCTTTTATTTAATAACTTATTAGCTCAGACTGGTGATTTCAAAAGTTTAATATGAAAGATTTGTTGTCAATTTTTAAAGCTTATATCTTGTATATGGGAGAGGTTTAATATTCAGACTAGCAAAATGGAGTGATGTAGATATTAGGTTCAGTGGCAATGCTATGTTATAATTTCAGGTTTCCTTTCATTTTCATCTGGACGACTATAAACTCGGTTTGTATCTGTGTGTGTCTCACTGTCCATTTATAATCATTAGTTGGTGTCCACGTGTGTTGAACATGAAATATTATGAGGCTAAAATATTGTATATGAGGGCCACATTTTTGGCATGACAGTGGGTGTGAGCATTACCGAATGAAACGGAACTGCTTCTGGCCTTGAGATTTGGCACCATAACTGATATTGCTTCACCTTTTTGGATTGCTCATTGCTTACATCAGTTCTTTTTATAGTTTGAAAACATTATCGGAATTACTACTTAATCGTGATCAACATAAAGGTCAATATTGAAAACCAGGGCCCTATATTAGGCAAAGTTGAGGGAGTTCTTATGAAAATTCACAAGCTTACTATAATTTATAATCTACATCAGAAGGATAATCAGAGGTGATCTTCGCCTTGCATGTTCAAAGCACACACTTGTACCACCTAATTGCTTTTTGTGTGAAGAATTTGTTATATATTAAATGNCTTGCATGTTCAAAGCACACACTTGTACCACCTAATTGCTTTTTGTGTGAAGAATTCGTTATCTATTAAACGGCTACACCCACAAAAAGAAAAAAAAACTTAAAAGTTTCTCAACACTGATTTCTAGACCACATTTAGAAATCTCTAACACATTTAAACTTGCCCAGAAATACTAAACTGAAGCCTACTAGTGATATCTTCCATGCTAGATCCGAACTTTGAAACAATTTACCAGTATCAAGTGCATGCCTGTAGATACAATAAGCTAGGATTCATTGAAGAAAGATGGTCTCCCCACCACATCCACCACTTTTATGAGAGTAGTTCTCTTCCCCACAATAAACAACACCTGATAACATATCAGAAATTACAATTACTATCCTTATACAACATGCCTTAAAGTGCATGAGGAAAAGAGTTCCCTGTAAGCAACCATATGAGAGACAAGCATAACCAACATAAATTATATTTGTAACCAATCCACAATTTTATCAACTACATCCAGAGAGAGAATGTCTTGCATCTGATAAACATATTCAATTAAAATCCACAATTTTCAAATAACAAAAGTTTGAACTAGTCCCTGCTATAACCAATCTAACATTAATCACATGCACTATGCTTCAATCTACGATGCAAATATGTTAATTTACAAATTTCATATTTATTAAACTCACAAGCTCACAACACATTCAAACCATTTTTTGTAACCACTTTTCCTTCTCTTACGAGCCTGCAGAGATACTTTTGTTTTTGTGCAACAATTCTCATCTTGTTTTCTATCATTTCAAGGCAAGTATTAAAAGTGTGTGTATTTTCTGAGGGTGTGTGTGAGAGTGAGGGAGAGAGAGATCAAAAGAGCAAAAGCCTTTCATCTTATGATTTAAGGTTCCTTAAAAAACAAAATATACTCAAAACCCGAACCTCAATAGGAAGATTGTCTTGAAATGCCAAACACCAGTTCTCCCTTGTCTTACCATGATGCGTTTGTGTCAAGCTCACCATTGTATTTCATGTACTCAAAGGCTTGGGATGGCAACTGCACATTGCAGCCAAAGTTATCAAAAGCTCTGGTACAATCCACAATCTGCTCCAAAAAAGAAATTCGCTTCCCAAATGCCTGTGGATAATCTGACTCTAGAGTTCCAGTGGTGTGGTGAATAGCCAATGTTAAGGTTACAAGCAATTTGACAGTTTAGTTGGGCAATCAACTCACCAAAAATTCCATTTTCCACATTCTAATCTTGACTCAAGCAAACCTGCATGTCCAGCAAGATCCACAGTGGTCTTTTTACAAGGGTGACAGTGCCATCTTCCCTCCAATCTTTTTTGTGATTAAAAACAATCGTTCACTATATCTATCTCATATAGCAACTGAAAAATTAACAAAAACCAGCATTGTATAAAGTACCTTTACATAAATTGCTAAGATATAAAATAGTCAAGGCATTGGCATAGTTACAATGTCGCAGTCTTGTTAGACTAACAATTTGACAAAGGTGCACCAACATCATTTAATACAAGACCCATTTTTAGTAGTTCACAGGGTTACAATGCAGTAAAATGATGCATGTGAGTCCATATGATATATAATAACGAGGTACTTTGATAAAATGATATAGGAGGAACTGAGATGATTGCAACTCATATTGGAAGGCTGAAAGGTTCACCAATAAAAGCTATTTAATCACTTGCACGACTCTTGACACATTCAAAGAGTAATGTTTTGGGAAGGACAACAGAAGTCAGCTTGTGATTTCCTTTGTGGTTGCAGAACAGCTTTGAGCAGCTCCTAGCATCTATGTAACTCTTCCTATGTCAAATCAGCAAATTCTGTTCCACAACATATGCAGAATTGGCAAAAGAATTAGTTGTTAACAAAAGACCATGATCAACAAATGAATGAACATGTAACAATTAATATCCTAACTGAAAAATTACATATACTGAATTAAAAAATCTCAATGGCAATATGGAGTAGCCAACTTTGCATGACGAAAACAAGTGTACAGATCGAGAGGGAGAGAAAGAGTAAACTACTAAGGCTATTTACAGCATGATCAGAAACAAGTAAGTTAAATTTGGCAAAGAGAATGTCATTGTTGGTACAGTGGCTGACAGCGGTGGAGGAATGTCGATGTTGGGGTGAAGAAGCAATGGAAAATGCTACTGAAAGAGTAAATCCATAACTTTTTAAAGAACACATTCATTCCTGCATTGCATTAAAATCAACAAAATTCATGATCGTAACTCAAGTGAATATATTAAAAAAAAGTGTTTCAGCTTAGTGAATACTTCATGGGCTTTGAATTGTACAAACTTGGGATCAACTAAGAGTTCGACAGCATTCAAGCCTGTGAACTTCATAGCGGCAACGACACCAATGGAGAGAGAGGGCGAGAGAAGAGTTTGAGATGAACAAGAGGAGTTCTTTAGAAAGAGACCTTTGAGCTCCTTGCTTTGTCTGTCAATCAATGGCATGCTTCCTAAAAGTATCTCAAAGTACTGTTAAATGGAAAGACTTGAAAACACCCACAAACAGTGCAATTATACCTGTATTATATTATAGATGGGGAAGATGAACAGATAATACCTGTTAACTTCTATAGGGTATGTACTCATTTGTAATTAAGGCTACTATAAAAGGGCACATTAATAATTTGAATATTTGAATGAAGAAGGATAGTGTCAGCATTAGTTATTTTGTTAAGGCTATAATAGTTAATCAAAAATTTTCCAAATTTGTTGACATTTTATAGAAGTACAGATATAGATATAGATGTTCATGGAGGTGTCACAGATTATGTTCATGACTGAGCCTCTCTCTCTCTCTCACCCCTCCCTCTCCCTCTCTTGTTTTGATTGAACTTCTTAGAAGAACTCCTGTTGATCTCTAAACTTGCAGGTTCATGTGCCATCACCATGTAAGCTTGATGGTGTCCACTTACAACATTTCTTTGGAACTGGTGTGATCGTATACCATTCTCAAACCTTGGGATTAGTTGTAGTTGACAAGAATACTGTTCCAATAGCTGTCTCCGATGTGATGCTTTCTTTTGCTGCCTTTCCTATTGAAATTCCTGGGGAGGTAAAATTATAGATGCCTTTTAAGCAGTGAAATTTTTTGCTGTATGCTCTTATGGAGCTAAAAACAGTGAAATTTATTGTTGTATGTTCTTATGGAGCAGTCCCTTTTCTTTGCAGGTGGTTTTTCTGCATCCAGTACATAACTTTGCTTTTGTTGCATATGACCCTTCTGCGTTGGGAGCTGTTGGTGCTTCTGTGGTTCGTGCTGCTGAACTTCTTCCTGGTAGGTTGAGTTTGCATTGATCAATTGGTGTCAGTTTTTTATATTGTGGTCATTTTATTGTCTTCTTGGAATGGCAAATTTGGATTCCAAAAGAATGTCAGTTTATGCAGCCTGCTTTGTTTCTAGCATTTTATTTGTAAGTCTGCACATGTTAAATTTCCAGGAACTGTAAAACAAAAAAAAAAGTTTTCGATTTCATATACTAATTTTACATGATCAGATTAATTTATTATTTTTTCCATTTGGGGGGGGGGGGATTAAGTAAGTGTGGGGCACTACAAAGAATCTACTTGCTGTAGAAAAGTATGTTAAACAACCATCTACTCCAAAAGTTTANGGCTACACCCACAAAAAGAAAAAAAAACTTAAAAGTTTCTCAACACTGATTTCTAGACCACATTTAGAAATCTCTAACACATTTAAACTTGCCCAGAAATACTAAACTGAAGCCTACTAGTGATATCTTCCATGCTAGATCCGAACTTTGAAACAATTTACCAGTATCAAGTGCATGCCTGTAGATACAATAAGCTAGGATTCATTGAAGAAAGATGGTCTCCCCACCACATCCACCACTTTTATGAGAGTAGTTCTCTTCCCCACAATAAACAACACCTGATAACATATCAGAAATTACAATTACTATCCTTATACAACATGCCTTAAAGTGCATGAGGAAAAGAGTTCCCTGTAAGCAACCATATGAGAGACAAGCATAACCAACATAAATTATATTTGTAACCAATCCACAATTTTATCAACTACATCCAGAGAGAGAATGTCTTGCATCTGATAAACATATTCAATTAAAATCCACAATTTTCAAATAACAAAAGTTTGAACTAGTCCCTGCTATAACCAATCTAACATTAATCACATGCACTATGCTTCAATCTACGATGCAAATATGTTAATTTACAAATTTCATATTTATTAAACTCACAAGCTCACAACACATTCAAACCATTTTTTGTAACCACTTTTCCTTCTCTTACGAGCCTGCAGAGATACTTTTGTTTTTGTGCAACAATTCTCATCTTGTTTTCTATCATTTGAAGGCAAGTATTAAAAGTGTGTGTATTTTCTGAGGGTGTGTGTGAGAGAGAGAGAGAGAGAGATCAAAAGAGCAAAAGCCTTTCATCTTATGATTTAAGGTTCCTTAAAAAACAAAATATACTCAAAACCCGAACCTCAATAGGAAGATTGTCTTGAAATGCCAAACACCAGTTCTCCCTTGTCTTACCATGATGCGTTTGTGTCAAGCTCACCATTGTATTTCATGTACTCAAAGGCTTGGGATGGCAACTGCACATTGCAGCCAAAGTTATCAAAAGCTCTGGTACAATCCACAATCTGCTCCAAAAAAGAAATTCGCTTCCCAAATGCCTGTGGATAATCTGACTCTAGAGTTCCAGTGGTGTGGTGAATAGCCAATGTTAAGGTTACAAGCAATTTGACAGTTTAGTTGGGCAATCAACTCACCAAAAATTCCATTTTCCACATTCTAATCTTGACTCAAGCAAACCTGCATGTCCAGCAAGATCCACAGTGATCTTTTTACAAGGGTGACAGTGCCATCTTCCCTCCAATCTTTTTTGTGATTAAAAACAATCGTTCACTATATCTATCTCATATAGCAACTGAAAAATTAACAAAAACCAGCATTGTATAAAGTACCTTTACATAAATTGCTAAGATATAAAATATTCAAGGCATTGGCATAGTTACAATGTCGCAGTCTTGTTAGACTAACAATTTGACAAAGGTGCACCAACATCATTTAATACAAGACCCATTTTTAGTAGTTCACAGGGTTACAATGCAGTAAAATGATGCATGTGAGTCCATATGATATATAATAACGAGGTACTTTGATAAAATGATATAGGAGGAACTGAGATGATTGCAACTCATATTGGAAGGCTGAAAGGTTCACCAATAAAAGCTATTTAATCACTTGCACGACTCTTGACACATTCAAAGAGTAATGTTTTGGGAAGGACAACAGAAGTCAGCTTGTGATTTCCTTTGTGGTTGCAGAACAGCTTTGAGCAGCTCCTAGCATCTATGTAACTCTTCCTATGTCAAATCAGCAAATTCTGTTCCACAACATATGCAGAATTGGCAAAAGAATTAGTTGTTAACAAAAGACCATGATCAACAAATGAATGAACATGTAACAATTAATATCCTAACTGAAAAATTACATATACTGAATTAAAAAATCTCAATGGCAATATGGAGTAGCCAACTTTGCATGACGAAAACAAGTGTACAGATCGAGAGGGAGAGAAAGAGTAAACTACTAAGGCTATTTACAGCATGATCAGAAACAAGTAAGTTAAATTTGGCAAAGAGAATGTCATTGTTGGTACAGTGGCTGACAGCGGTGGAGGAATGTCGATGTTGGGGTGAAGAAGCAATGGAAAATGCTACTGAAAGAGTAAATCCATAACTTTTTAAAGAACACATTCATTCCTGCATTGCATTAAAATCAACAAAATTCATGATCGTAACTCAAGTGAATATATTAAAAAAAAGTGTTTCAGCTTAGTGAATACTTCATGGGCTTTGAATTGTACAAACTTGGGATCAACTAAGAGTTCGACAGCATTCAAGCCTGTGAACTTCATAGCGGCAACGACACCAATGGAGAGAGAGGGCGAGAGAAGAGTTTGAGATGAACAAGAGGAGTTCTTTAGAAAGAGACCTTTGAGCTCCTTGCTTTGTCTGTCAATCAATGGCATGCTTCCTAAAAGTATCTCAAAGTACTGTTAAATGGAAAGACTTGAAAACACCCACAAACAGTGCAATTATACCTGTATTATATTATAGATGGGGAAGATGAACAGATAATACCTGTTAACTTCTATAGGGTATGTACTCATTTGTAATTAAGGCTACTATAAAAGGGCACATTAATAATTTGAATATTTGAATGAAGAAGGATAGTGTCAGCATTAGTTATTTTGTTAAGGCTATAATAGTTAATCAAAAATTTTCCAAATTTGTTGACATTTTATAGAAGTACAGATATAGATATAGATGTTCATGGAGGTGTCACAGATTATGTTCATGACTGAGCCTCTCTCTCTCTCTCACCCCTCCCTCTCCCTCTCTTGTTTTGATTGAACTTCTTAGAAGAACTCCTGTTGATCTCTAAACTTGCAGGTTCATGTGCCATCACCATGTAAGCTTGATGGTGTCCACTTACAACATTTCTTTGGAACTGGTGTGATCATATACCATTCTCAAACCTTGGGATTAGTTGTAGTTGACAAGAATACTGTTCCAATAGCTGTCTCCGATGTGATGCTTTCTTTTGCTGCCTTTCCTATTGAAATTCCTGGGGAGGTAAAATTATAGATGCCTTTTAAGCAGTGAAATTTTTTGCTGTATGCTCTTATGGAGCTAAAAACAGTGAAATTTATTGTTGTATGTTCTTATGGAGCAGTCCCTTTTCTTTGCAGGTGGTTTTTCTGCATCCAGTACATAACTTTGCTTTTGTTGCATATGACCCTTCTGCGTTGGGAGCTGTTGGTGCTTCTGTGGTTCGTGCTGCTGAACTTCTTCCTGGTAGGTTGAGTTTGCATTGATCAATTGGTGTCAGTTTTTTATATTGTGGTCATTTTATTGTCTTCTTGGAATGGCAAATTTGGATTCCAAAAGAACGTCAGTTTATGCAGCCTGCTTTGTTTCTAGCATTTTATTTGTAAGTCTGCACATGTTAAATTTCCAGGAACTGTAAAACAAAAAAAAAAGTTTTCGATTTCATATACTAATTTTACATGATCGGATTAATTTATTATTTTTTCCATTGGGGGGGGGGGGATTAAGTAAGTGTGGGGCACTACAAAGAATCTACTTGCTGTAGAAAAGTATGTTAAACAACCATCTACTCCAAAAGTTTAAGCTATTGGAGATTTGAAGAGGGTGTAATTTAAGTATTTATATTTCATAGCACATGAAAATCTTTTAATAATTAGGGTGGCAGTGAGATGTGAACACAAGACCTCCTACTTTGATACTATGATAAACAACAATCTANTCTAATCTTGACTCAAGCAAACCTGCATGTCCAGCAAGATCCACAGTGGTCTTTTTACAAGGGTGACAGTGCCATCTTCCCTCCAATCTTTTTTGTGATTAAAAACAATCGTTCACTATATCTATCTCATATAGCAACTGAAAAATTAACAAAAACCAGCATTGTATAAAGTACCTTTACATAAATTGCTAAGATATAAAATAGTCAAGGCATTGGCATAGTTACAATGTCGCAGTCTTGTTAGACTAACAATTTGACAAAGGTGCACCAACATCATTTAATACAAGACCCATTTTTAGTAGTTCACAGGGTTACAATGCAGTAAAATGATGCATGTGAGTCCATATGATATATAATAACGAGGNGTCTTGTTAGACTAACAATTTGACAAAGGTGCACCAACATCATTTAATACAAGACCTATTTTTAGTAGTTCACAGGGTTACAATGCAGTAAAATGATGCATGTGAGTCCATATGATATATAATAACGAAGTACTTTGATAAAATGATATAGGAGGAACTGAGATGATTGCAACTCATATTGGAAGGCTGAAAGGTTCACCAATAAAAGCTATTTAATCACTTGCACGACTCTTGACACATTCAAAGAGTAATGTTTTGGGAAGGACAACAGAAGTCAGCTTGTGATTTCCTTTGTGGTTGCAGAACAGCTTTGAGCAGCTCCTAGCATCTATGTAACTCTTCCTATGTCAAATCAGCAAATTCTGTTCCACAACATATGCAGAATTGGCAAAAGAATTAGTTGTTAACAAAAGACCATGATCAACAAATGAATGAACATGTAACAATTAATATCCTAACTGAAAAATTACATATACTGAATTAAAAAATCTCAATGGCAATATGGAGTAGCCAACTTTGCATGACGAAAACAAGTGTACAGATCGAGAGGGAGAGAAAGAGTAAACTACTAAGGCTATTTACAGCATGATTAGAAACAAGTAAGTTAAATTTGGCAAAGAGAATGTCATTGTTGGTACAGTGGCTGACAGCGGTGGAGGAATGTCAATGTTGGGGTGAAGAAGCAATGGAAAATGCTACTGAANTTGGGGGGGGGGGGATTAAGTAAGTGTGGGGCACTACAAAGAATCTACTTGCTGTAGAAAAGTATGTTAAACAACCATCTACTCCAAAAGTTTAAGCTATTGGAGATTTGAAGAGGGTGTAATTTAAGTATTTATATTTCATAGCACTTGAAAATCTTTTAATAATTAGGGTGGCAGTGAGATATGAACACAAGACCTCCTACTTTGATACTATGATAAACAACAATCTATTCCAAAAAGTCGAAGCTATTGGAGAAGANAACTTGATTGTATACATAGAGAAGAACACTTTTGATTGCCTTGATAATGAAGTTATCATACAACGCTTTCAAAATATGAAAATCTATTGAGGCCAATTGTAAATGCTTATGATCAGTCTCATTTTTTGTAATGGATCTAATTAGAACCCTGTTTTGTAGATTTTTTTTGTTTCGATACCTNACATATACTGAATTAAAAAATCTAAATGGCAATATGGAGTAGCCAACTTTGCATGACGAAAACAAGTGTACAGATCGAGAGGGAGAGAAAGAGTAAACTACTAAGGCTATTTACAGCATGATTAGAAACAAGTAAGTTAAATTTGGCAAAGAGAATGTCATTGTTGGTACAGTGGCTGACAGCGGTGGAGGAATGTCAANTGTACAGATCGAGAGGGAGAGAAAGAGTAAACTACTAAGGCTATTTACAGCATGATCAGAAACAAGCAAGTTAAATTTGGCAAAGAGAATGTCATTGTTGGTACAGTGGCTGACAGCGGTGGAGGAATGTCGANATAACAGATAACTTGATTGTATACATAGAGAAGAACACTTTTGATTGCCTTGATAATGAAGTTATCATACAGCGCTTTCAAAATATGAAAATCTATCGAGGCCAATTGTAAATGCTTATGATCAGTCTCATTTTTTGTAATAGATCTAATTAGAACCCTGTTTTGTAGATTTTTTTTGTTTCGATACCTCATGTATATCGGCTTTTGGCCGTTTTGTCAATGAAATTTTAGGTAATATATAAGATTTAAAAAATTTATGTGTCTTTTACTTTTATCCTTAGGAAGCCAAAAATTAAAATTTGTAGTTAGTGCCACCTACATACAAATTCATGGCTTTGCACCTAGCCGTGAGAAAACCAGACTAGCTCACCAATGTGCGCCAGAGGTCCAGAACAGGGTCACACTACCTGATATTATTTCTTAAGGTTATAGTGCAGCCAATGATCTCTACCACATAGAATGTCATAATTATATCCTTACTCCATTTGTGACAACCAATGGTTGGTTCAAGATAGACCCCCGATTGGATCAGGCCATGACCAGAACAGGATTTTCTGTATAGTATCATTACTGATGTCATGGTTCTGCCAATATACCTTACAAGATTGTTATAATCATAACTTTGATGAATGTGGGTGTACTATTATTAGATAAGTTATATACATACAAAGACATGTTATTTAGTGTTTGTCTGGAATTTTGTGATGAGCGTTCTGCTCTATTGATGGTCATAAAAGGAAAAACAAGACCGGAGTGACAGTTTTTCATATTCTCTCCGGTCTCGTAATTTTCCCCGTTGTGGACAAATTGATGTTTTCTTCAAGTAAACTCTCTTCTCTTTGAATAAAATCTGACTATAAGTTTCGTGACAGAACCTGCTCTGCGTCGTGGAGATTCAGTCTATCTTGTGGGGTTGAGTAGGAGTCTACAGACAATGTCTAGGAAATCTATTGTCACCAACCCTTATGCTGCTTTGGATATTGTCTCTGCTGCTTGTCCGCAGTACAGACCAACCAATATGGAAGTCATCAAGCTTGATACTGGTAAATTGGTGCCCAACTGTCCTAATAGATTACGTTGCACATTGGGCTGCTTTAGAGTTAATAATTTTGTTGTTATATATCCTATGCCCTGTTTCAGATTTTGGTAGTACATTTTCGGGTGTGCTAACTGATGAACATGGAAGGGTTCAAGCTATCTGGGGAATTTTTTCAACTAAGGTTTCTACTCTTCGTCTTCGCTNAATGGTTGAGACAAAAACGACGTGGTATATCCATTGGTTTAAGTATTTGTGACATTCGCATTGATCTTATCAATTTGCGACTACCTCGAGAGCATTTCGGCTATGAAGATTTTGAAGAATCGATTGCGTAATCGAATGGACGATCAATGGATGATAGATAACTTGATTGTATATATAGAGAAGAATANAGTACATTTTCGGGTGTGCTAACTGATGAACATGGAAGGGTTCAAGCTATCTGGGGAATTTTTTCAACTAAGGTTTCTACTCTTCGTCTTCGCTGATTCCTGTGACCTGCTTTTTTTTAATGAAACATTTTGTGATGCATACATTCCTTCTTGCAGCTGAAAGGTGGCCATAACTCAAATGTAGATCATCAGTTTGTCCGGGGAGTTCCAATATATACCATCAGTCAAGTCCTGTGCAAAATGATATCTGGTGCCAATGGACCACCTCTTCTTATAAATGGCATCAAAAGGCCCATGCCACTTGTTAGAATTTTGGAGGTTGAACTTAAACCTACTTTGCTGTCAAAAGCTTGGAGTTTTGGACTGAGCGACAGTTGGATTCAAGTACACTTTCGTCCTTCAACAAATNCCCCCGATTGGATCAGGCCATGACCAGAACAGGATTTTCTGTATAGTATCATTACTCATGTCATGGTTCTGCCAATATACCTTACAGGATTGTTATAATCATAACTTTGATGAATGTGGGTGTACTATTATTAGATAAGTTATATACATACAAAGACATGTTATTTAGTGTTTGTCTGGAATTTTGTGATGAGCGTTCTGCTCTATTGATGGTCATAAAAGGAAAAACAAGACCGGAGTGACAGTTTTTCATATTTTCTCCAGTCTCGTAATTTTCCCCGTTGTGGACAAATTGATGTTTTCTTCAAGTAAACTCTCTTCTCTTTGAATAAAATCTGACTATAAGTATNAAGTTATCATTCAACTCTTTCAAAAAAATGGTTGAAACAAAAAAAGATGTGGTATATCCATTGGTTTACGTACTTGTGACATTGACATCGATCTTGTCAATTGCGACTGCCCCAAGAGCATTTTCGGCGATGAAGATTTCAAAGAATTAATTGCGTAATCGAATGGACGATCAATGGATAACAGATAACTTGATTGTATACATAGAGAAGAACACTTTTGATTGCCTTGATAATGAAGTTATCATACAGCGCTTTCAAAATATGAAAATCTATCGAGGCCAATTGTAAATGCTTATGATCAGTCTCATTTTTTGTAATAGATCTAATTAGAACCCTGTTTTGTAGATTTTTTTTGTTTCGATACTTCATGTATATCGGCTTTTGGCCGTTTTGTCAATGAAATTTTAGGTAATATATAAGATTTAAAAAATTTATGTGTCTTTTACTTTTATCCTTAGGAAGCCAAAAATTAAAATTTGTAGTTAGTGCCACCTACATACAAATTCATGGCTTTGCACCTAGCCGTGAGAAAACCAGACTAGCTCACCAATGTGCGCCAGAGGTCCAGAACAGGGTCACACTACCTGATATTATTTCTTAAGGTTATAGTGCAGCCAATGATCTCTACCACATAGAATGTCATAATTATATCCTTACTCCATTTGTGACAACCAATGGTTGGTTCAAGATAGACCCCCGATTGGATCAGGCCATGACCAGAACAGGATTTTCTGTATAGTATCATTACTGATGTCATGGTTCTGCCAATATACCTTACAAGATTGTTATAATCATAACTTTGATGAATGTGGGTGTACTATTATTAGATAAGTTATATACATACAAAGACATGTTATTTAGTGTTTGTCTGGAATTTTGTGATGAGCATTCTGCTCTATTGATGGTCATAAAAGGAAAAACAAGACCGGAGTGATAGTTTTTCATATTCTCTCCGGTCTCGTAATTTTCCCCGTTGTGGACTAATTGATGTTTTCTTCAAGTAAACTCTCTTCTCTTTGAATAAAATCTGACTATAAGTTTCGTGACAGAACCTGCTCTGCGTCGTGGAGATTCAGTCTATCTTGTGGGGTTGAGTAGGAGTCTACAGACAATGTCTAGGAAATCTATTGTCACCAACCCTTATGCTGCTTTGGATATTGTCTCTGCTGCTTGTCCGCAGTACAGACCAACCAATATGGAAGTCATCAAGCTTGATACTGGTAAATTGGTGCCCAACTGTCCTAATAGATTACGTTGCACGTTGGGCTGCTTTAGAGTTAATAATTTTGTTGTTATATATCCTATGCCCTGTTTCAGATTTTGGTAGTACATTTTCGGGTGTGCTAACTGATGAACATGGAAGGGTTCAAGCTATCTGGGGAATTTTTTCAACTAAGGTTTCTACTCTTCGTCTTCGCTGATTCCTGTGACCTGCTTTTTTTTAATGAAACATTTTGTGATGCATACATTCCTGCTTGCAGCTGAAATATGGCCATAACTCAAATGTAGATCATCAGTTTGTCCGGGGAATTCCAATATATACCATCAGTCAAGTCCTGTGCAAAATGATATCTGGTGCCAATGGACCACCTCTTCTTATAAATGGCATCAAAAGGCCCATGCCACTTGTTAGAATTTTGGAGGTTGAACTTAAACCTACTTTGCTGTCAAAAGCTCGGAGTTTTGGACTGAGCGACAGTTGGATTCAAGTACACTTTCGTCCTTCAACAAATTCCTTGTTTCTTTTGATGCCTGTGATACATTTGCATTCAAAATTTGAGATTGAAGGTGAAAGTTATAAATTAGTTATTTATGTGTGAAAAAAAATGAAAGCACACTCGTTGCATGCATGCATGGTCATGTCTCTCATCTGACCGAAGAATCGGTTGTCGAACGTGAGTTAGTTGCTTTCAATATGGCAGTGGTCACTAATCGTATGGGGGATTTTATCACAAGGTTCTGTTCCCCAACCACAAGAAGGAGTAAATACAGCCCCCTCAATATCTGTTATGCAAATCTTAATTCTTGTGGGGTCAGCTACAAAATGCCCCTTCCAAATTTAGCTCACATTGCAATCAACTCTCTCTGGTTCCAATTCAAGCAATTTGCCCCTTCANATTGTATACATAGAGAAGAACACTTTTGATTGCCTTGATAATGAAGTTATCATACAGCGCTTTCAAAATATGAAAATCTATCGAGGCCAATTGTAAATGCTTATGATCAGTCTCATTTTTTGTAATAGATCTAATTAGAACCCTGTTTTGTAGATTTTTTTTGTTTCGATACTTNATTTTATCACAAGGTTCTGTTCCCCAACCACAAGAAGGAGTAAATACAGCCCCCTCAATATCTGTTATGCAAATCTTAATTCTTGCGGGGTCAGCTACACAATGCCCCTTCCAAATTTAGCTCACATTGCAATCAACTCTCTCTGGTTCCAATTCAAGCAATTTGCCCCTTCAAATTTTCAGTGGACTAAATTAACCAAAAGAATGAATGAAAAATATAAAAGACCTAAAATATCCCTCAAACCAAAGTATTGTTATTTTTTTCCTCCATCTACCTGCCACCATCTCCCTATTTCCACCTTCACCATCAATGCCGCCACCTCCCAATCATCATCTCCACCACAGCAACACAAAAACACATACTACCATAACTTTACTATGATTTTTCCAGTTAATACAACCAAACTAAATCTTCAAAATCCTATTAAAGTTCAATTTAAATTCAAATTTTATTGTCAAAATCTGAACAAATATCCTTTTGGNCCCCCGATTGGATCAGGCCATGACCAGAACAGGATTTTCTGTATAGTATCATTACTGATGTCATGGTTCTGCCAATATACCTTACAAGATTGTTATAATCATAACTTTGATGAATGTGGGTGTACTATTATTAGATAAGGTATATACATACAAAGACATGTTATTTAGTGTTTGTCTGGAATTTTGTGATGAGCATTCTGCTCTATTGATGGTCATAAAAGGAAAAACAAGACCGGAGTGATAGTTTTTCATATTCTCTCCGGTCTCGTAATTTTCCCCGTTGTGGACTAATTGATGTTTTCTTCAAGTAAACTCTCTTCTCTTTGAATAAAATCTGACTATAAGTTTNGGCTGGTAGTCAAAGACTTAGAATTTGGGAATTCCAAACTAAGCACTCTCCACCCAACCCATAGATAGGTTGATTTGGTGAAGAAAAACACAGAATCCCTGCAATTTAAAAATTATAACTCTACTTAAAAATTGAAATACGCNATGATTTTTCCAGTTAATACAACCAAACTAAATCTTCAAAATCCTATTAAAGTTCAATTTAAATTCAAATTTTATTGTCAAAATCTGAACAAATATCCTTTTGGCTGGTAGTCAAAGACTTAGAATTTGGGAATTCCAAACTAAGCACTCTCCACCCAGCCCATAGATAGGTTGATTTGGTGAAGAAAAACACAGAATCCCTGCAATTTAAAAATTATAACTCTACCTAAAAATTGAAATACCCCTCCACAAACACTTTACACTTTACAAGCAAACAAGAAACTTTTAACAGCCAACTCCTAGTATATCATTTGAAGAACAACAAATACATTTGTGCTTTTATTACTAATTGAACTGTTGCGGATATAGCTTCACCACCAAAAAAGCTCTAATTCCATCAATTCAGCACCCAATCCTAAGTGAAGTCCAATTCCACTCTGATTCCGTTGGAAACCCTAATAGAGCTGCAGCCATCTTCAACTAAATCAAGGGGATCCCTGAACAAAGCTCTGGCAGAGGGGATCTTAGTGCATCTGTGTCATGGTGTGTTCCTATTTGTTTGCGTAGNCACTCTGATTCCGTTGGAAACCCTAATAGAGCTGCAGCCATCTTCAACTAAATCAATGGGATCCCTGAACAAAGCTCTGGCAGAGGGGATCTTAGTGCATCTGTGTCATGGTGTGTTCCTATTTGTTTGCGTCGTAAGAAGTCATGATGAAGCAGCGACAACAAGACAAGAGTGAGTTATAGAGGTGGTGGTGGTGGTGCACTGGTGGTTGAAGGAGGAGGATACTGGTGGGTTGGTGGCCATGGAAGGGGCGGATGGGTATGATAGCCAAAGGGATTCCTACCTGGTTGAGGTTGTTGGGTTGCTAGTGGCAAAAGTGAATGTGCAGCATCTTCTGGTTGAAGGGTTGGGGTTCAGGTTGTGGTGGTGGGAGTGAGACATTTTCTTTTTTTTTTTTTTGTTTTTCAAAGGCAGAGAGATGAGATGGCAAAATTGTCTTTTAAATGAATTCAAGTTTGGGTGATATTAACATGGGAAACGTCTGTCTAGTTTTTAGGGTCAGATTTAAAGATAATGGATAGCTGATTTAATGTCCAAACTTGAAGGGCGCAAATTGCTTGAATTGGAACCAAAGTGACTTGATTGCAACGTGTCCTAAATTTGGAGGGAGCATTTTGTAAATAACCCATTCTTGTGACTTATTTTTTAACTTTTGGAAGTAACATCGCTTCTTGTAAAACATGGTAGACTATGTGAGCATTATCATCACTGTAAGTGAGCTTGGGTTTATCTTTTGTAGGCTCTTGTAAAGAAAGATCCTATTAGACGTCAAGTTCTACGGATTACAGGTTGTTTGGCGGGATCCAAAGCTGAAAATTTACTAGAACAAGGTGACATGGTTTTAGCAATTAATAAAGAGCCAATTACATGTTATCGTGACATTGAAGATGCTTGCCAGTCATTGGACCTGTGTGATGACAGTGATGGGAGACTTAACATGACTATTTTTCGTCAGGTGAACCATCGCACCTCTTTCATTTATTTGTTTTTTTCCTCTTCCTCTTTTCAGTTACTTCGCCAAAAAAGATCTGTAAAAAGATCCTTAATATGTGTTCTGTGTTATTTGTCAGTGTTGTGAAATTGAACTTCTCGTTGGAACCGATGTGAGGGATGGGAATGGAACCACTCGTATGATAAATTGGTGCGGATCTATTGTCCAGGATCCACACCCAGCTGTGCGTGCTCTTGGATTTCTTCCCAATGAAGGCCATGGCGTATATGTGACAAGGTAAGGTGTGTGCATTGTGATGGAATTTTCTATGCTGTAGAGTTTGCCATATGAGTTATTGGGAGTGTTACTAGATGGGTCATGATGTAGACAACCACCACTAAGCTGGACTGTTAGGATCTCTCTCCTATTCCTAAAAGTTAAATGTTTGGATGGGATGGGATGGTCTGTGTTATAAGTTTCTTGTGGAGTACGGTTCAAATTTGTCAGCACATTTACTTCGTTGCTGTGGACTCATGTCAACCCCAAAACCCTCTCCAACACTAGCCAATACCTCAGTCTACTCGACGGAGATTGGAACTGCTGCTCACTGAAGATGACAACCTGCAACTCTGTTAATTATCGTAGATTTGTGTGGCTCTTCAAATATCTTGCTAAGGTAAATATTGGTGACCACATTTTTTTTCAGGTGGTGTCACGGGAGTCCAGTACATAGATATGGTCTGTATGCTCAGCAATGGATAGTTGAAGTTAATGGAAAACCAACTCCTGACTTAGATGCTTTTGTCAGTGTGACAAAGGTATGTTTACCCTTTATTTTATTGGCGTTTAAAAATCTACTCTCTATTTTCACTCAGAGGTCAGGGCACACTTAGGAATTGATGTTGCAGAAACCTGTGGTTGACCTGGGTTATCCATTAACACAGACTCACAGCTACTCTGTTTTTGACAATTAACGATCTTTATGCGATATAGACATTCATTTTTCAAATCGTGGAAACATACTCGGGCTAGCAATTTCAATGTTGTGGTTTCAAATTGGATGGGCGCCACTTTATGCATGTGATACCAAAGTTTAATACGTAGTACCCCATTCACCAATCTTAGCGCACACGAGATGTTGAAACATCGTATAGTAAAATGTTACATTTTTAATTCTGATATTTTTGTGCCATTACCCTCTTAATGAATTTAAGTACTTAGCAGGCATTGCAGCATCAGGAATTCGTTCGTGTAAAGACTGTCCACTTGAATGGGAAGCCTCAAGTGTCTACATTGAAGCAGGATTTGCACTACTGGCCTACTTGGGAGCTAAGATTTGATCCTGAAACTGCAATGTGGCGTCGCAAGACAATCAAAGCATTGAACTGCAGTATTTGATCAAAATTCCCTTCTCGCAAATTTTACAGATACCCTGGAAAAATGGACATGCAAAATGGAAATTGTAATTGTTTCGACTTTGAATTTGTTGAATCTCATTGGTGGTTTTACTATTGTCTAATTGGGTTTTGAGCTGTTTTCACGAACAGTTGACACTCAGATTTCTAATGGAACAACCTTATTGTAAAAATAATAAGTTTATCGAATTTTTGAGTCTGTCACTACATTCTTATAATGGACAGTTTTTTTTTTGTTTTTTGATCAAACTTATAATGGACAGTTCATTCAGCAACTTGGACGTAACAAAACCGAACCCCATGCATTCTACTTAGTAAAACTAAAGCAAAAGTTGGAAAAACATGGGTCGTTTGGTAACGTTTTTATTTTCGTGTCTTCAAAACAATCAAAAACAGAGATAATTTTTGTCTCTATTTTGTAATAAACGCTGAAACAAAAAAATATATTTTGGTGTCATTTTTATCTATCAAATTATGAGAATAAAAAACAAAAATTATATTTGGTAACTACTTCACGTTTTATTCTAAATATGTTTTATAATATACCATACAACAAAATACAAATCCAAAAATTCATCAAAGATCTATATTAATCCATCAAGATCATCAAACTCATTCAATCAACTCATTAGTTTGATAGCAAAAAAAAAATGGGACTAAATGGCAATTCAATCAATTTCAAATGGTAATTTAATCCCAAATAGCTATTCAATCAATCCTAAATTGTTATTCAATCAATCCCAAATGATAATTATTTGCCAAATGATAATTTATTCTCAAATAGTAATTCAATCAATCCTAAATCGCAATTGAACAATTCCAAATGACAATTCATTTGGCAATTAATTCAAACACAACACAATACACACAGAGCATAATACACACACGCTTGCGGTCTAGATGATCGATAGCATGGGAGTTGTTGGAGAGGAAAATACATGTAGTACCACGGAAAATAAGGTAATGTGGGTTTAGAAGGGGAAGACGGCGAGTTAGCATGATGGTTGTCATAGGGGCTGGTGGTCCTGGTGGAGGCGGGTAAAATGGGACAGAGGTGATGGTGGATATAGCGACAGTGATGGGTGGTGGAAGCAATTGTGTCGAGTGGAACAGTTTTGTGTCGGGTGGAACAGATTTGTATTAAAAAAACCTTCATCTATATCCCATTTGTTTATATAAACGAGTCTAACTGTCACAACCATACACGAATTATTTATTAAACGGGTTATTCGATACAAACCGTGTGTCATCCGCTAAATAAGAGCATAGGTTAGAGTATTTTGAATCCACACAAAAAATATCAACTCATCATACATTACACATATTTGACCAGTTTACTATAACAATAAATTATGACTGAACAAAAAAATAAAGACAAAAAATAAATATTATATGACTACTAAATTTAAACGAGTTTGAGAGATGAGACAGATATTGAGAGATCTAACTTTTTAAAAAAAACATTATAGTACTACTGTTAACAAGTTAAAAGAGTTGAAACGAGTTTATGGGTTAAACACGAAACTAGTTTATTTATTTGACGGGTTTGTCGAGTTAACCCGTTAAAACTACATTCAAACTCACTAAATCCGTGTCGGTTTCATGAGTCATATCTAGAATTGTCATGCTTAGGAAAACTATCACGAAGCTAGACGCAGGCACAAAAAGATTATCGTGAATTGTATTTAATTTATCGATCTAATTTGCTAATTTTATAAATTATAAATTTTGAATTGACATTTAATCTCATTTAATATCGAGAATTACTACTAATTAAACAATTGTAGTAAATGGAATCAAAAAATTAAGTTGAAGTAGTATTAATCTTTAAAGAAACTACTTCTATTCTAGGAGATACTTATCTAAAAATGTGAAAGGATATTTTCCGTAAAAATAGGAGGAATGATTCAAATCCTTGAAAAGTACATATCTTCTTAAAGGATAATAAAGCTGATGATATTCTTATTGGCCATATCCATTGAAATTTAGGTCGCAACAAACACCAAAACTGACTCTTATCTCAAATCACTATAATTAGATAAACATTAAATTACTTTCTCGTCTAAAACACCTCTCATTAATCCCAAAACCCCACATATTTTCATTGTAATTCTTCTGCACATCTTCAAATCACCAATTTTTTTTTAGTATTCTTCTTTCTCAACAATGGCAACAAAGACTGATGGCACGGAAGTAGTAGAGATCTCCAGGATGGAAGAAGGCGTTGGCGCTGACACTTCGTCTTCTTCTTCTTCCCGATCCAATCTCCGGGATAGTTTCTGTTTATCAGCTTCGTTTGTTACCCTCGTACAAAAGGTTAGTAATACAAGACACAGTCTTCTCTCTTCGACACAATTTTTAGTCATTGCGATATTTAAGAATGACGAGATATATTCGGTTAATATCCAAATCACAATACAACAACAATAGTATAATACCACTATTCAAGACTCGTCTCTTTATGTGCGATTAACGTGTATAAATTTGCATGGGTATTCAGCACTATTTTGTGATTTGTTTTGTTTTGTTTTGTTTCTCAGTTGATTGCAGAGGCAATCGGAACTTACTTTATAATATTCGCCGGATGTGGCTCCGTGGCAGTGAATAAGATCTATGGCAGCGTTACGTTTCCGGGCATTTGTGTGACATGGGGACTGATAGTCATGGTCATGGTTTACTCTGTGGGTCATATCTCCGGTGGCCATTTTAATCCAGCAGTTACGATCGCGTTCGCCATTTATCGTCGATTTTCATGGAAGGAGGTGAGTTATATGATTGATTATAAGCAATATTATGCTTATGCTTACCAAGTGTTCTTGTCAAATGTCCATTCCAAATGACGTGACCAACTCACGAAGAAACCTTAAATGATTTTGGACACATATTTCGTGGGATCCCCATCTATTCAATGCGTACCTTGATTTATTTTCTTTTTGAATACAAAAATTACGAAGCATTTGATCTGATGATATTCTTTAGAATTCTTGGTCCGTAAACAATTACCATTTTTTTTCATGTTATGCAGGTACCCATGTACATAATAGCTCAGTTATTGGGATCAATTCTAGCCAGTTGCACTTTATCTGCAATTTTGAACGTGACTCTTCAATCTTACTTTGGAACTGTACCAGTGGGATCAAATGGCCAATCTTTAGCTCTTGAAATTGTAATCTCCTTTCTTTTGATGTTCGTCATCTCTGGTGTTGCTACAGATAACAGAGCGGTAAGCTAATTTATGAAGAATTAAAATCCTCACTACTTTTAAATGCTCCAATTATATAGGGTTTGCATTGGTCTTGAAAGTATCGAACGAGAGTTTTAATCGTGTAGAAGAGAGTAGTTGATTATAATGTTTGGTTTTCTTCACCTTTATGAATATTAATATTATTAAAAAATCATTTTCTCCTAAAAATGTTCGAAAACATCAATGGACTAGTAAAAATTTATAGTTTTGATCATTCATAAAAACATAGTTTTTATTGTTATATTCCTTTTTATTATTATTTTTGTTGCAGATAGGAGAGCTAGCGGGAATTACAGTTGGAATGACCATAACCTTAAACGTGTTCGTGGCCGGGTACATCGTTCTTCTTTAAGATATTATGTATCTTACAAGTTATTATAGCTTTTAACGAGAGTAATCTCTACTAAAGTTTTTGTTTATGCAAACTTGCATTGAAATAATTCGTAGCATATATCCCACTAACAAAATTTATACAAATTAACACTGCAGGCCAATTTCTGGAGCATCCATGAACCCAGCTAGGAGCATTGGTCCAGCACTGGTTAAACATGTTTACACAGGACTTTGGGTTTATATTATTGGGCCAATCATCGGAACCATCCTCGGAGGATTTGCTTATAACTTAATTAGATTCACAGACAAACCACTTCGCGAGTTAACTAAAAGCGGGTCATTTCTCAAAAGTATATCGAGAAATAATCCAGCTTAGGTTCATGCTCTAATTACTATTACTCCTACTTTTTGAGAAAAAAATTGATTTATTTTTTCTTAGACAAGTTTCATGATACTTTTAGTTACTGTTTTATGAGCTTTGCAGTATGTGTTTTTCCAATTTATATGGCTCTCTTGCTGCAAACTAACACATTTATTGCTTGCATTTCATGATTCCTTGATGTTTTGATAATGTTGAATCCATTTATATGCTCAATAGCAATGTATATTCAATGGGTCGTGAAAGGTAAATGACAACTCAAAGAACATGATAGTACGTTTAAATGTAAATTATTAAAGTTTTACAAGTTGTTTGGAGTCTCAACAACGAATTGGGTTGCCAATCAACGTCTAAGGCGGATCGTAGGCTGCAATAGCTTGTTTGGACAATCTACAACAAAAACGTGTTTGTTGGATCATTCCTAATTAGTCTTCAGCATGTTTTCAAATGAAAACTTTTCTTCCAAACTTGAACTATTTTTAATTTCTAATATTTCTAGGCACATCCCATTCACTAATCTCACAATTGTTCGAAAATTAACTCTCAATTTGTAAAGGTCTTAAGAGGGAATTGACATTGAGCTAAGAGAAGAGTTTTCATATGAAAAATAAATTGGCAGAGCCAAATTTTTATACGGCCGAGTTGGTTGGGTATCACAAGCAAGGGCTTTTCTTTTTCTAAGTACGTGTTATGCTATATGGGTTACACAACCAAAACAATATGAAAATGTGTTTATCGTTCAATTCATATTCAATTAAAATAGCATGAAACTATATTGGTTATTCATGTTCATGTAGGGATGCTGCTGGTGGTTGGTCGTGCTCCGTGTTAAAGTTTATTCAATTTAATTAAATATAAATTAAATAAATTTTAACTCAATATCACCGACATACGACATGCGTGTCGTGTGGGACGATGCACTTAGTCAATATTATAATATTTAAAAAAAAAAAAAATATTCTAATCGGAGTGTGAGTGGATACTACAATAGCATTGTTTCGTGTGAGGCCAAATCCCAAGCGTAACCCTCAACTGCGTCGCACCATGTCCAAGATCCAGGGGCCTCTTTTGTAATTGCACATCACCTGTACGAAAATAAAAAAAATTGCACTACACGTCCCAAAAGTATAAAAATTACTTTATTTTAGTTTTCAATATTTTAATTACATCATTATAGTTCATAAAATATTAAATATATTTTTATTGTTCATAAAATATTAAATATATTTTTATGTGATTCCTCAAACATATAATATCTAAATTATTAATAATTTTTGATCATAAATTTATCACATAAAAACTAAATATGGATAAAAAATAATTTGAATAGCTCACAAAAATTTGAATAATTTTTTTAGGGGTGTCAACTGTATCATGTTTGTGCGACTCACATGTCGTGTCGTATTCGGTGTTGGTGTCAAAACCCAAAAAAAAAAATTATTTAGTGTGTTATGAGTATTAAATATTAGTTTAAACTATTTATTATGAGTATTTAATAATCTTATCAATTTTATAATTGTACGTGTCGGGACGAATCAAGTTGACATCCCTAATTTTTTGGACCAAAATTTGGATAGAATTTTTTTTAATAATTATTTAAATTATTTTTTTACTCATATTTAGATATTACGTGACAAATTTATAATAAAAATCATTAATAATCTAGATTCTGTGTGTTTGAGGGATTACATAAAAATATATTCAATAATTTAAAGAGTAAAATAATATAATTAAAAAATTAAGAATCAAAGTAAAATAAATACTTGACGACCTCTGGTGCAATTAATGAAAAACCAATCAAAGATTGACTTCCTACTCAGTTCGCACACACTGGCCTTCTCGTAGCTCTCTCTCTCTCATTTGCTCTGCCCGATTGTCAGAGATTTTGCGACACACAGAACTCTTATTAGTTATTCCATCCATTTCAGTGCTCTAGAACCCTAAATCAGCCCCAGTAGTATATCAAATTGACTCTGACAAATCAGGATTTGGGAGAGTGGTCTATATAATTGTAGAAGGTGAATGGGGGATCCATTGGAGAGATTGGGTCCGGAGGAAGCTTCGGGTTTGGAATCGAGGATGAAGGAGGAGCTCTCTATGGAGATTGATCCTCCGTTCAAAGAGAATCTCGCCACTACCGAGGATTGGAGGAGGGCACTCGACAAGGTCGTCCCAGCCGTCGTTGTGCTCCGAACCACCGCTTGTCGAGCTTTCGATACCGAATCCGCCGGTGCTAGCTATGCAACTGGGTTCGTCGTTGATAAGCATCGCGGAATTATACTCACCAATCGTCATGTCGTTAAGCCAGGTGCCTTAATTTGTCGTAATGATGTTTTATGTTTTTTTTTTCTTGTGCTCTGTTTGGTTACTGAGAAAGTGCAGGGAAAAGAAGCGCTTCTAAAGTTGGAAGTTTCAGACGAGACCAGAGAGTAGAGTTAATGAATTTATCATATACGTAGTCCTTTTGGTGTTTCTTTATTTTAATTTCATTGCAATGCTTTGGTCTGTAGGACCCGTAGTTGCAGAGGCTATGTTCCTAAACCGCGAAGAAATTCCTGTCTATCCGATATACAGAGACCCGGTCAGTTGTCAATTTCTGGTTTTTTATTTTTATTTTTATTTTTCTCGTCATTGTTCTCAATTTTGCATAGTTTCATTCCCTCACTATCCTGGTTTTAGTAGTTGTTTTGTCTTTAGATTGGAAGTGATACTCAGAGAATTGAATCTAGGAATTCATTTAACAAACTGCCGGCAGATGAAATTTGGAGGGTCTTCTGGTCTTCATACTGTTCCAATTGGACCTTAAGGGAATCATATCTTGCCTTGCCCTAAATTGGGGTTTATATTCTGTTATCCTGTGTGTCCAGTTGTTGGAACATGTTGTGGCATTTAGTAATGACTAATTGGTGTACACTTGTGTTGCATATGGATAATTTTAAGGCACAATTTTTTTTTTTTTTACTTTTTATTTTATTCCCAAATCCAACTATACGATGACAAATAAGGCTTGCTAGTCGTGGAGCATGTCACCAACAATGCATATCTAACTTTCTCTTACTCCCTATAAAATATATAGAAACAATCTTCCAGTTGGTGCAAACATTGTTTCTTCTGAGTGTTATAGTATGTCTACCACAAATATCCATTGATGCTAAAAAGTGATCACAGGACCTATGATCTATATCTATACCATTTATACTACCAATAAAAGAACTATAACATGAAATTTTTTTAATTTACTATTTTATTCTTATAAATAATTGTAAAGGTCACTCTATCCTTCCATAGTCAAAGTTAAATATCTAATCACCATCATATTCTTATATGTTTCAATCTCCAAATTACCCTCTAACATCTCTTTATATAATCTGTGGCGATGGAAATGTTAGATTGTGTCAATTTAGAAGAGTTTTTGATCAAATTATGTCTTCTAATAACTTTATTATCTTGATAACGTGATTTCGACTATTTCTAGACTTATCATTGTTTTGCATTAAAACATGATTTAAACCAAATAACAAAAAATGTATTACCAAATACGCATTTAATAGCAAAACGGTAAAAGAACGAGCAAATTTTGTTTAGTATCTTTTTGAACTTCAATGCAATGTAGATGTCTATATGTATTACTTCAACTTCTTAAATGTTAAAAGCATAAGTTGTGTGTTGAGTTTGGACAAGCAGCAATAAAGCATACTAATTGAAAAGGAGAACAACTTTTTACGCAAGTCATTGATCGTGATTAGTCCTTGATAAGTCTTCATTGATAAAATGAAAAGAAGAAGGTGTGTTCACTTTGTAGCTCTTCAAACAGTTTCTACAAGCCTTTATTTTTAATTATGATGTGTAAAACTCCAAGAAAGAAGATCAATATACAAAACGACAATTTCGAATGTCATTGCAACACGGTTGAATAAGTGCTAGCATTACAGCCTAAGAGAATGAGGGGTCATGGGTTCAAAACTCATCACTAACAAGAAGAGAACCCTTGAACATGCTTCTCTGATAGTATTAGCACCTTCCATTCTCTTGTAGCTCATGTCAGGCTTTAAGGGGGTAAGATTCTTGAATTGAACCTAGATTAGTCATCTTGTAGCTGACAAAAATAGAACAGAATTTGTAAAGCAACATTAGTATTCCAATAAAGACACCTCTTCAAGCTTTGCGCAACAACGAACCTAACTAACAACAAATCATTTTCATCTTCATCCATACTTCTTGATTTTGTTTTTATTTGAAAATAAGAAGGTAGGTTTCCCCAAATGTCGTGCTTATTGACAATTAGGATTTATAAAACACTAAAAACTTTGTAATGGGTCACATACTTTGCAACTTCAGCACCAGTATTTGTATGTGTGACGGTCTAAAATCCAATAACCAAATGTAAGAGGACTCTTAGAGCTCCCAATTAGTAGCACTNGAAGAGTTTTTGATCAAATTATGTCTTCTAATAACTTTATTATCTTGATAACGTGATTTCGACTATTTCTAGACTTATCATTGTTTTGCATTAAAACATGATTTAAACCAAATAACAAAAAATGTATTACCAAATACGCATTTAATAGCAAAACGGTAAAAGAACGAGCAAATTTTGTTTAGTATCTTTTTGAACTTCAATGCAATGTAGATGTCTATATGTATTACTTCAACTTCTTAAATGTTAAAAGCATAAGTTGTGTGTTGAGTTTGGACAAGCAGCAATAAAGCATACTAATTGAAAAGGAGAACAACTTTTTACGCAAGTCATTGATCGTGATTAGTCCTTGATAAGTCTTCATTGATAAAATGAAAAGAAGAAGGTGTGTTCACTTTGTAGCTCTTCAAACAGTTTCTACAAGCCTTTATTTTTAATTATGATGTGTAAAACTCCAAGAAAGAAGATCAATATACAAAACGACAATTTCGAATGTCATTGCAACACGGTTGAATAAGTGCTAGCATTACAGCCTAAGAGAATGAGGGGTCATGGGTTCAAAACTCATCACTAACAAGAAGAGAACCCTTGAACATGCTTCTCTGATAGTATTAGCACCTTCCATTCTCTTGTAGCTCATGTCAGGCTTTAAGGGGGTAAGATTCTTGAATTGAACCTAGATTAGTCATCTTGTAGCTGACAAAAATAGAACAGAATTTGTAAAGCAACATTAGTATTCCAATAAAGACACCTCTTCAAGCTTTGCGCAACAACGAACCTAACTAACAACAAATCATTTTCATCTTCATCCATACTTCTTGATTTTGTTTTTATTTGAAAATAAGAAGGTAGGTTTCCCCAAATGTCGTGCTTATTGACAATTAGGATTTATAAAACACTAAAAACTTTGTAATGGGTCACATACTTTGCAACTTCAGCACCAGTATTTGTATGTGTGACGGTCTAAAATCCAATAACCAAATGTAAGAGGACTCTTAGAGCTCCCAATTAGTAGCACTAATTAACTACATTTTTCCAAATGATTGTCAAAATGAATTTAAAAAAAAAAAAAAGTTAGCTGCCAATCCAGATATTAAAGTTGGTACATCAATCATAAAGCACAACAAAGATTATGATGTCTACACTGGAGCACCATAGCTCAGTATTGGCAAATATTGGCCAAAAACAACCTGAAAGAAACAAATATTTGAAACTTTCCATGTAACAAGAAGACAATCCCACCACATCAGAGATCGGACAAAATATTTTCAAGCATACTTGGAAGCAAAATGTTGGAAGTATATTAGGCTCTACTTTCAACTCATTAATCATTGAAATGTACACCCAAAAGAGCATTTAGAGGAATTGTGATCTACCTATAAACATAAGTCGCATAAGATTGAAGTAACAATTTGCATATATGGGAAACGTTATTCATGCCTACAAAACATAAAATCAGCAAATTAAACAAGCTTAAAGCCTCTCAATGGCATTCTGTACTAAATAGTAGCAATAGAGAAATTATTTGATTGGACAAACTTTAGCTTCTTAGATAGGTCATAGCCTTACTATTTATGATTCATGATTTGTAAAAATCCGACTAATCTAAAAAGCGAGGGAGCCATAGCTTTCTTCTTCCAAAGACAATCGGAACTCACCCGTGAAATGAGAGCGTAGTATGAAAAGGAAAATTTGTGCAGTTCGACAATGTAACGCACTATGAGTTACAATTGTACCTCTAGTGTGTACGGAAGAAGAAAGGGTCCTAATTCAATGAGACAATATATCTACCACTTAAGACTAAGCAACCGACATTGAGGTTTAATTGGAGAATAGAAAAACCCCAAAAGCTATTATCTAAACATTCAAGGAGGAGAGAGAGAAAGAAACAAAGAGGTGTCCTAGGGATAGATAATTTAATGGTTGGTGATCAAAAAAATAACTGACATGAAATGTCACTTAACAAATAAATATATTTTATAATGAATATTTATTCAAGTGCATGATATTTTAGATATTTAAGAGTTGTTAGATGATAAAAGAGTAAGAATATTTTTTTCAATATGTATACATGTAGAAGTAGTATAGATGGATAGATAGATAAATTTAGAAGTAGTGTATATATATAGATAGATCGATAGAAGTAGTATAGATATAAATTGTGGGGAATGTAAAAACTTTGTTTTAATGTTGTCATTATTCATCCTTAAAATTTTAATATATTTTCCTTTAAAGGATTCATTAAGTGGACACGAAATGATCTCATGTTTCTCAAGTTGTCAGAATCTATTAAAGATGAAATTGTCTTTAAAGAGTTACTTAAGATTAAAATAGAAAAATAAAATTTTTTTATGTTAAGGTACTTTTAGAAGTAGTATAGATGTACTAGTTATAACCCGTGCCTAAAGGCACAATAAAATATAAAATTCAAGCGTCTAAAAAATCGTTTCCACTATATTAATTTTTTTTTTCAACATTTGTATACTATCATATATGAATAATGTTTGAAATAAAAATTATATTAACTACAAATTAATCAAATAATAAATGATTAAACATATGATATAAATGAGCGATGTGATATTTTTAAGGGGGAAATATATAATTGATTAAACATGTGATAAAAATGAGTGATGCGATGTTTTTAGGGGAGAAAATATGTAGGGATAAAAATTTAAATTGCTATGTGTTTTATTATATAGATAATGAGCCTTTTTCCAGCAATGTTGCATTTATGGTGTGTTATGTGTTTTTTGTGTTGCTTTGAATGTTATAATACATTTCTCTTCGTTGGTTCAGTTCCCGGATAGGGACATGGTTTCCATCATAACCATTTTATATTAAGATGTTATGCTTGCTAAGGTTATTTGCCATTTGAGTTGTTTATCTGAATCTAACTTACACTACATGTTCTGCCTTCTAGGTTCATGATTTTGGATTCTTCCGTTATGATCCTGGTGCAGTACAGTTTTTGAGCTATGAGGAAATTCCTCTTGCTCCTGAGGCTGCATGTGTTGGACTAGAGATTAGGGTTGTTGGAAATGATAGTGGAGAGAAGGTATATAGATACTTCAGTTGTCCCAGGAAGGAGCATTCTCCTAGTGGTTTAGTTTGTTTAATAATCTTTGTCTTTGATATTTTATAATCTTAAATCTTTCAAATTCTTATATTTGGCTTTCTGGTGAACATAAATCTATAAGATCTTAAAATAAAAGAAAGGTTGTTATTTGCCTATGACTTGAACGAATAGGAATAAACTTGCTGACATTTTTAGGTGAAAATTTTATTGTTATTGCATCATTTATTTAAACAGTCAATATAGATCCAGTGATTTTTTTATTTGGCGATTATTTTTTTTTACCAGTTTGATGTCATCAGCTCTTTCACTACCACTGTCTTATGCATTCTTACCTGGCGCTCTCTATATTTGAACTCTCTGATATATATGCAAGAGAAAAAATAATGAAGCCAGGATAAGTAAATGAGGAATTAAACTTGCCAGTTCAGATCAAGGTTTACAATGCTAGCACTTGAATCACAGTGTGCTGTAAGGCCTTATATCTTGCTTTGCGAATGAAAAATCCAATTACTCATTCTCCTATTTGTTATCATACTTGCCATTTTGTTATCGTCATTCTTGTCATGCATAATCATGAATAACTCACCAAATTTTGTGATTTGGTGGTATTCACATGTGCCCACTTTGTTGATACAATCTTTGATTAATATTTCATTATTCCGACAAGGAGTTCATTGATTGAAGTAATTAAGTATGAGTGAAGTTCCGGTTCTGTTTCGTATCGAGTATGGATCCGACGCATAGTCTTGGTTTGCTCGGAAATGAAAATGTTTTGTATGAAGTAGACATGTACTGAAATATCTTAAAACCACCTTGAAACATTTTTGTTTCAGTTGCCACGGAAATCAAAGATTTTTCGGCAGAAATGAATGAAAATTTTGTTGCTTGATTTTAGCATAGATTGAGTTACTTAGTTATTTTGTTTTTCTTACAAAAGAAGTTGAACTTTATTTTTGGTGCTTGAATTTGAAACTTACATTTATTTTTGCATTCTTTAAAGTTGGTGGGAGTCTAGAAATAACTTCAGAAAGTTTTGGGGTCTTATCTATTGTTAATCAAATAATTAGTACACGTATGAGAGATTGCTAATCAAACCAAATCATATCGCTTAATTTGATGTTATGTGTCCATGCACATGTAGAATGATCTTGCCCACACTAATTGTTGTATACAAGGTTTTTGACATTATGATTTATAATGAGAAACTAATCCATTTGGCATCACAAGGGTAAGGTATAGTTGTTATTAACCAGCAACCGTGTTGAAAACAATGTTCTTCTAGGTCAAGATGCAGTTTGAATTGGCTTATAAACATGATAATTGATATAGGTCTTAGATGCTAAACATGTTGTTCTTTTTCTTTTTGGTGCTGCTGGAGATGTTTATTCATTTTCCTGCTAATATTGTAGTTAAATTATTGTTCTGGCTTCCAACTCGCCTTGCATAATTGTCCTGAGTTTTTTCCATGTTGCTTGAATTATATTATCACCAACATTTAGAATTTGGCTTACTGCTGCTGTATGATTTGGGTTTATTACTTGTTTTTCTTGATTGGTTGTTATTCTGTTTTTGGGCATGAGTTATTTAAATTGGTCTCTTCGGTAAATTTTGCAGGTCTCTATTTTGGCTGGTACCCTGGCTCGTTTGGATAGAGATGCTCCTCACTATAAAAAGTATGTGCTAACTTTACAATTTTTTCCTTTCCCGGGTCCTACGGCTGCCTGGCTGGAGAACTCAAACATATAAATTAGAAGTGGTGTCTGAGAGTTTTACAGCTTAGTGATGACAGTTTTTATGATTGATCATCTTCCATTCTTAAAATTAGCCCTGTTATGATGAATTTGTTTTGAATACAAATCATCAATCATTTCAAGCCTCATTTCTTATGTGACCTTAGAATTCATCAGATGTCAGAGCTACTCTGCCACACACACTCTTAATCATAAAGTGGTTTTTGAGTTCTAAAGTAGTGTTATTGGCTATTTGTTGCATAGTTGCTCATTTTCGAAGTCCCTAAGTACGGAGGTAATCCTGGTTTCTGCAGAATGTGGCCCTACTATTGGAGCATGCATTTTCCAATAGCATAAAAGATGTGTATGGAGCCTGTGCACGATTGCAATAAACGTTCTGGAAATGAAATCTCTCAAATAGGAACTTCTTCATGCTCGGAAGGCAAATAAGTTTTCATTTTGCAATGCTCACAGCTTTATAGTCATAGTACATTTATTGTGATATTAATTGTTAAGAGTTCTTATCTTATATTATTAATAGTGTAGGATAATATTGTAATTACCCATAATATCAATTTATTAATAAATAAGAGGGTGTAGGGCAACATAGCCTGTGTGCGATTATTCTTATCTTTATCTTATTCTCTTTTTCTCTTAACAGTATATTGTAGTTTTTACTTAACTTTAATTTATGCTTTTCAAATTTTCTGGATGACGTAAATTTGTGATGGAATTATTATATTTTTATTTATGAGATAACTTTTTTGGTTATATACCAGATTTGGCTACCATTCATGTGTGCTAACAGTTACTGTGTTATGTGCAGAGATGGCTACAATGACTTCAATACGTTCTACATGCAAGTAAGTATTGTGATATTACTCTTACTTTTCGGACATTATGAGTTGCTGGAGTGAAATATTTGTTGGAATAGATTTGATCATCAATTCTTCCTAAAAAGTTGTATCCCTCCCACTAGTCAGTTCTTTTGCATTTTTGTATTGAACTTCAGCAAGTCTAAATTTCTGTTTCACTCAATGTTGAAATCTTGCTTCTGCTATTTGATTATATAGATTTGGGCCTACACAAGGTTATTTAAGCTTTAGAAGCTCAATGAAGTGACCGAGTGCAGCTAATTTTACAGGACATTCTGTTAATGTAATATTGTCTGGTTGGTCCTACCTTGAGCCAAGATCTTATTGATATATGCTCTTATTGCTACAGGCGGCTTCTGGGACGAAAGGTGGCTCGAGTGGTTCCCCTGTAATTGATTGGCAAGGCAGAGCAGTTGCCTTAAATGCTGGAAGCAAGTCATCAAGTGCATCGGCATTTTTCTTACCTTTAGAACGGGTGAGTGTAGTTTATGTTATTTTCTGTGACCCTTATACAATACTTGTGATGTTACCAGGCGACTATGAAAGCTGCAACTTAATACCTTTACAGTGTTTAAGCACCATACTAATTTAAACCTGGATTTTGGAATGCTGCCCCAGGGCTGAATTAGCTTGAACTTACAATGATTCACCAAAGCTGAATATGTGCATTGATAATTAGATATTCTGCCAGAAGACTTGCCCATTTGGATGCACGTTTCTCAGTGTTGTTAAAGTTGATTTAAAGTGGGTCAGGGCAAGTGAAAGTTCGTATTTACCAATTATAGGACATAGTATGTAGTTTAAGTAATTTTGGTGTATAACCAGTATCTCAAATTTCGGATATGCTGTTCCTACATTATAGTGTAAGGATTATGAATAATTTTTTTTTGACATACCTCAACGAGATGTGATTTGTGAAAGCTATCGAGCTCTGAGGAGAGTCTAACATCCTGTTCTTTGGGATCTGTCAAATAGGAAAATATAAATTTATAGCTGGGGTTTAGAACTGTTTTTGAATAGCTTGATGGCGTATGCTTTGAAAGTGCTTTGAAGGTTTATTAAAAAGTTGTTCCTTTAGGGGAAGGTGCTTTACAGTTTGAGGGGTTAGAGAGAGCATCTAGGGCAACTGAAAAAAACATTAGTTGAACCATCTCCTGTTGGCTACTCGAACTTGCTTTGCCATCCCCTCTGTATAGGGGCTCTATGTTCTTGAATTTATCAGCTTGTCTTCTCCCTTTGCAAACATTTTTGTTTTCTTTTTCTTTCCTTCCTTTTGGTGCGTCTTTATCCTTAATTGCCCATAACTTAAAGTGGAGCTGTTACTTTTCTCCATGTCATGCAGATCAGCATGACCAATTGTTTCACTTCTAGCTTGTCATACATGTATTTGGAGATGTAATATGACTCCAAAAGTGGGGAAGGTAATAGAAAGGAAAAAGAAAAGCTTACCTTTGGAATAGAGTTGTATGCCCCTCACATGCCTCAACTTATGGGATATACCCCCCCATTCAAGTGAAAATGGGTCTTATGACAGTTTCGTTATTATAAAAGGAGGGATGTGATATTCAGAAAGAAGTAATCTCTTACGTAGCTATCCACCCAGAGTTAGCAGCAAAAATGTTTTTGCTTTTCAGTTTGATAGTTTATTTTCTCCTCCTTTCCCCACCGTTTTTACATCATTGTCTTTTTCTATCCCCTTCTCTTTCTCATATTTAAATCAAAATATTTTTCCATTTTAAGTACTTTCCTAATTAATTTGATTTTTTCAATTGAATATTCATCCATGATTGCTGTTTCTAAGTTAACTTGTTTTGATATCAATGCCTTTTGTTTTTAATGTTTAATTTGATTTGTGCACTCATGTGCATTTCCTTTTAGTTCTACCCTTCTCTTATATCGTTATTTCTTATTTATAATTCACTTTTTATGTATATTCAACAAACTGGCAAATCAGAAAGCTTGGGTTCATTTGTTTGATCACATAGGCACTTTATAGGCACTTTGTAGAATCTTCTTCAAAGTTTTATTCTCTTGTATTTGACCTTATCAATAGCAAAAACCTTTATCTTTTCTACTTTACCCAATCGTCTGAATTTGAAAATTGGCCTTCTTTACACTCCCTGACTGTACCTCTCATGCCAAGTTTAAAAGCTAGTGTAACCAGTAGGTGCTTGAGATTTCCTTCCTTTGTTTATTCTTTGGGCTTTTTGGGCACTAATTAAGTATGACCCTTTTTTTAGTGGATGCTGTTTCTACATTTGCGTTTGTTCGGCACAGTAGTAATGTTTGGGCTACTACCTTTCCCTCTGTGTATATAAGACAATGAGTATGGTTGATTCTTTGGAGCGTGAGACCTAGGATGTTCATGCAAAATTGGCTTTTTCTAGCTTATTTGTTGTTTATACATATTTGTCAATGACTGAGGCTGAATTTGCGTGTCTCCCTTTCGAGATCCAAATGTTAAAAATTATCCAGATGAGTAATATAGACACTGGACCTTTCTATTACTGCTGGTTGATATTAACCTTTAAGCTCGGACTTCTTTGTGACTTCTTGTGTGACTCGTTATATGCACAAATGTTGCAGCGACGTCACAGTTTCCAGGCGCTAAATCTTGGTGTCATATAACTTTCAGGTTGTAAGGGCCCTAAAATTCTTGCAGAAAGGAAGAGATTCATTTACAAATAGGTGGGAAGCAGTCACCATTCCACGTGGCACACTTCAGGTTTGTTGTTCTTATCCTTTACAGCTTCTAAGGTGGTCTTTGTTGCCATTAATGAGTTTCTGTTGAAATTGCATCAAACAGAATCTTTATTATTATATTTTGATCTGAAGTGATCAGAAATTATTAAAACAACGCAAATAGAAGGTCAACAACTTCCTACCTGATCCAGCACCCTCCGTCAGACACCCTCTTCAGATCACCACCTCCCCCCACCGGTAAACAACCACCACAGCACCACCTCCACACATAATCACAAAGTCTCACACTATCTCTCACCTTGGCTCTGAAAGCCACCAAAGCCAATGCCAAAAATCCTTGAAAAGGGATAGAGTTTGTTCCAATGGGAGTAATGGTTGTTTAGATTGGCTTTGGTTTTGGATTAAATATATTTTCTAGGCTGGACAGTAAAAGTAAAATACTAGGGTTCTGTTGATGGCCGTTAAGTACATTTTTTGATAGGGGGTGCATTTTAATTTGAGAAACCACGAGGGTACTCCCTGCAGTTGTGCTAAACACTAAGGGTGCCAAATTCCAATTTAGATTTCCATTAAAGATAAGATTCACCTCCTGGATTGGTGAGAATTGGAAAGTTGCTGTTAATTTTACATCTTCAAATGATTCTGGAAGTTGGATTATGTCTTCTGGGGATGATTGAGTGTGCTTGTGGTACCCTTTTTATTTTATGGTTGTTTTTCTATGGTAGCAATATTATTGTTGCAAGTGCATCTTCTTTGCAAAGTAACATAAAATGCTGCTTGTTTGTATCTATTATGCTACTGTTTGCTAGGATTCTTTTGCATGATTTGGCTTCAGTTATTCATGATGTAGGTCACGTTTATGCACAAAGGGTTTGATGAGACACGTCGACTTGGTCTCCGAAGTGAAACAGAAGAGGTATGCATTATTTGTTTCTGTAATTTAGTGATATAATAATTTGAGATTAATTAATACCTTATTAAGTTTTTGTCTGAATTAGTTGGTGCGTCATGCATCCCCGCCTGGTGAAACTGGTATGCTTGTCGTTGATTCCGTGGTGAGTGAGATTTTCTTAATATTTTAGGCTGTCTTTATAGTTGTCTGCTATCTAATCTCTGATGTCATCCTGGCCTCTTGCAGGTACCAGGTGGCCCAGCTCATAAGCATTTGGAGCCAGGCGATGTGCTTGTCCGCCTGAATGGTGAGGTAAGTTTACCGTCAAACCTATATCATTTGTATTGTCAGTTCCGCGTCCTCTCCGTTTCATATTTTCCATCTCTATTCAGTTCAATCTATCGCCATTAATTCAAAAGTGGAAATTGGTGAAATAAATGGTAGGTGATTGAATGGACAGGAATGGAAAGAAAAGAAAATTGAGAGGATACATGTGTATTTATAAATAAATTGAGGGTTTAAGCTTACTTCATTTGCTATTGCTAGATGTTTTTATAATGATTGGACCATTTTCTTTTCCATGGAATAATAGTTTGAATCTTTTGTTGGAAATGTTTGAGTATTGACTTTCCTCCGTTCACTTTGTTTCATCTTGTATTGTTGAATTGATTGGGTTCTGTGCTCTATTATCCTGACCATTATACTTCTTGCATTTGGTTAATCATATTACTAGTTAACTTGAGCAAAATTCAAGTTGTGCATGATAATTTGGAGTTTTCTTAACTTGAAGTTACATATAAGTTCTAAAACAGGGTATCACATTGTGTAGCTCATGGAATTTCAACTACATGCTTAAATTTACTACTGTGTGTATTTCTTTGTTTAAGTAAAACATGATATACTGATGAACACTAAATTTTTTTTTTATAAGAAACGATACTATTATTAATTATAAAAGATGAAAGAAGGTGATGAACACTTAAAGTTGTGTTGAACTTTCAGATCACTTATATCCGTACATGATTGTTTTGCTTATATCAGAGTAGTTCCCTTGACTATTAAGTCTCTTACTATAATGTTCAAAGAGCCATGCTGCCTGAACTGTGGAATCTAAGTGGAATTGCATGTTAAAGAGCTGTAACACACTTGCCTGAGTGGTCTTTATTGTATTTTTTCATAGTAGAGATCATCAATATATCAGAACCCTGGTGCAGGTGACTACCCAATTCTTGAAGACAGAAACCTTGCTTGATGATAGTGTGGACCAGAACGTTGAGCTACAGATTGAAAGGGGCGGCATTTCATTGACTGTCGACTTGGTGGTGAGATATACTGGTTCATCTTTTGTGTTTTAAGTTCATTATGTCGTAATCTGGCAAAATGTTCAGTTTTTCTTGGTATAAATTCTATATTTTGTGAAATAGATAATGAAATAATAATTTTTCTTAGTATAAATCACATATTTTCCTCTTTGTCAATGTCTGGACTATGGACCACCCAACGGTATGCCGAATTAGGAACTGTTCTGCAATATGAAGTTCTGCCTCCACCTAAAACTCCCATACCATATGCAGATTATTGGTGTCATGGTGTTTTTATAATTTTGATGCATTCTAAAGTCAGCGATCTAACAGTCAGTATTCCATAAATTACTATTAGTTAACAACTTTTTGAGGCATTTTACAACAAATTAATAATATCTGGTGGAATTAAGTTGTTTCAAATGGTGTGTGTTTAATGATGCCATCACGTCATACCTGCTAGATTTTTGATAACAATATGATAGGCCTTAATATGTTTGATTACAATATACACGTGCACACATATGACATATCACACACGAAATGTCGCTGTCAATAGTCCTACGATTTGTTGCAATACCCTCAAATACGGAACTGACCAGTGACTAAAGGAATAATTATATTGTAAGCTTCCGCAAGCCAACATGGGCGGCGATTACATCAGTTTATAACTTGCAATTGCTCATAGTTGGGAGCATTGCTTAACTGTTGCAGCCTGTGACGAGAATAGATTTCTAGGAGGTAGTAAGGCTAGTTGTGAATTTAGATCCATCAGAAGAGAGACACTTGAAAATATTGCACTATGTCACAATCAATGTTACTTGTTCTAGCTTTCATGAGCACTAATTGATCCAAAAAAGTGAGGGCATCATTTATCCATTATGAAGATTTGCTGTGCACTATTAGATCTTGAGGTCAAATGGGATGAAAAGAAGTTGATATGGGTGTCCACCTTTGATTGGTTTTTGTAGCACTTTGTCACCTTATATTATTAGTAAAATTGTTGTTTCTTATCGAGAAAAGGAGTTGATATGGGATTTAAGCTGTCTTTGATGTCTAAAGGAGAGTTGTGATAGAGGATGATGTGCAGCAGGACCATCGGTTTTATATTTCAAGGAGATATTTCCATGCATTTCAACTTTTTGTTCTTTTGAGAAACTAAGTGGGGAAATGATGCTTGAAGTGCAAACAACAACATGCTCAAACTTCTATTTTTTTAACTGTGCCTTACAGCCAAACTAATCTTTTATTGGAAATTTGCATGGTATCTTATATGTGGGCATATAACTTTCTTTTTTCAAGTTAACTGATGAATGATTAAGTTTCACATGGCTAAAATTATTAATATTCGAAACTTGACAGTGAAATGGATTTTGAAACTAATATTTATTTTTCAACTTTGAGCAGAACATTTTCATCACTATTCTATGTTATCTATACATAAGGTAAGACTTGGCATTTAAAAGACAGATGGCCTTGGCTTGTTTGTTTTATCATTTGTCTGAGATCTGAACTTTTGTAGCCATTGGTTCTAATTTTAAATTGAGTTTTCTTCTCTGGTACCATGTGGTCTCTGCATTGCTTTCTATGCTTGCTTTAGATATTTCCGACGATGAATATTTAAAGAAAAATAATTATTGAAACTTTAATGTGGTTTATGCTTTCACTTCAAGAAACCTTATGTTGTTGACTTAGATAACCAATTGTGTATGATACGACCATTATTTCCAGTCTTGATTTGAATATAAGTTACTTAGGGAAGCCCTTTGAGGACCCCTGACATATTTTATTGTTTGTTGCTTTGTTGCAAAGCTAATTTGTTGTCCTAATGCGCTTCAGGTCCAGGACTTGCACTCAATAACTCCTGACTACTTCTTGGAAGTTAGTGGTGCTGTGATTCAGCCTCTTTCTTATCAACAGGTTGGTCATGTTATGATGCCTTTGCTTAATACCAGTTTCAATGGCCTGGCCAGAGATACTTATATTACTAGGATTATCTGCCGACCGCCGAGTATGATTTATGTGAATTTTGTACCTGTCATGTTGCATAAATACTAGGGAACACAAAGATTTTGCACAGTGGCTATACTGGCCATGGGGGTGTTTATGGTGTATGTGTTTGACTCACTTTCTATTGGATCCTTGTAAAACAGGTGTGCTTCCGAAGGGTGAGAGCAATACATTTATAGTTCCCTGTAAATATGTAAAATACTGTTCTAGTTTGCTCTTGGATTGGATGGATATTTCAAAATGGTTGAAAACCCCATTCTTAGCATATTTTCGTGAAATACCTTTTTTTAGCATCCATTCTCAAATAACATGGGGGTTTCAAAGAAGAAGAAATGGATGATTGGATTATCTATCGTTGCCCTTGCTTCATAACATTTAAGAGTTAGACATTTTTTATTTAAAGAAACTTGCATGATGCATGGCAATGTCTACTTAATGCGAACATTTTGCATCATATGAAATAAGATGGATACACTGTCAAATAACCAAATGATTGCTACAAAAGGCACAATGGCAAATATTTTTTAAGCTTTACCATCTTTTGCCTGACCCATTGAAAGAACCTTTACAAACAGAATATACACTTTTCTGCATGACCCACCAAAAGCTTTCCAAAACAAATATTCATCTGTTAGGAAGCATAAACGTGAGATGAAAGGATTTTGGAAGCGGAAAAACGTTATATTTATGCAGCAACATCTTTGTCCTGTGATAATACAGAAAGATAAACCTTATTAAACCAAAGAGAGAAGAGAACAAGATCCTAACTCCCAGAAATGCTTAGCGTACTAAACAAATTGAAGCTCCACAGAAGCACAACTTCTTATATGGATGCCGAATGTGTGACAGCCCCATGGAGTCTAAAAATTCCCCCTAATTGAACCAAAAAATTTTAAATGGTATGCTTTCATCACCATAGTTCCTCCCAGAAAAAAATGCCCTATCCATTTTCGATTATGTTTTGGTATCCTTAAATATGGTTTTCCACGGGCAAAAATGACTTCTCTGCAAGCTCAGTTGCATCCAGCATCCTTCAAGGACCTACCCAGTTTTTAATACTCAAAATTGAAGTTCTGCTCTTTATGCCATTTGCTGACATGGCCTTATACGTAAGAGTTTCATGTGTTTATTTTAACACATTCAGACATCTCCTTTTAAAAACTCACTCTTTCCAGGTGTTTTGACTGAATTGACATTTTCTCATCTCTGAAGTTAAAATACAAAAAGTACTTAATCTATTTTTATGTTGTCATGACATGTGACAATCTTCTTTTTCTAGATGTAGTTATTCAGCTGCTACTATCGATCATCTTTGGGAATTTCATGACTTTGCTCTTTTCTTAATACAGGCTAGAAATTTCCGTTTCCATACTGGTCTTGTCTATGTTACGGATCCAGGGTATGTGTACTTATTTTTTGTGTTAAATTAGAATCTTAGTTGATATTTTGTTTCAAACTGGGATAGCTACAAGGCACATAGGTCAAGACAGTCTTTTGCTCTCACTTTTAGTTTTCAAATGTAGTGTTGCAAAACCACACATTACATTGTACTGTATAGACTTTTCTTGTTGAGAATGCAGATATATGCTCTTTAGGGCTGGAGTTCCACGCCATGCCATCATTAAGAAGTTTGCAGGAGAAGAAATATCTCGTCTTGAAGACCTAATCTTGGTACTATCTAAACTGTCTAGGGGGGCACGAGTACCATTGGAATATATAAGCTATACGGATCGTCATCGAAGAAAGGTAATGACGATTGCCTTTTTGCATCTTTGAAAAAACCTCCCTTTAAACAAAATCTACAAGTAGAGGTAGATTGAAATTAATTTTGAATGAGATAGGGAAAAAAGATACAATTGCTTGCAACTTAATAGAATTTATGACTCTTAATAAAGCACAATAAAAATATAGGAGTCACGTATCTGATCCGATATAGTTGGGAGAGTTTCGAACTGCTTCACCCAATTTCATCCCAGCCCAAGCAAGAACTCTGATTTTACAGGATCAGAGACAGCTTAGATCATTAAGGCAGAAGAAATCCTGGGTCTATCTAAACCCAGGAGGCCAGGAGTGCTAAGGCAGTAGGAGAAAACCTGAAGCTAGTCAGATGGTTTGGATTGCAAAGATCAAGATATTTCATCAGGGCTCCCTTGTCCATATTCATTCTCAGTTGTCATATATGATAACCCTCAGCTTGTCTCCAGGCTCATTCTAGCTGCTGCTCATGGTTAATACACTCAGCTGGTATCTCATTCATGACAGTGGCTGCACTCTGAGCTCATTTATTACATCCGCGCTGCTACTCTTAGCTCATTTAGGTGGCATACATAGTATTTTTTGTTATTTCTTCATCATTTTTGTATTATGCATGCATTTTTCTCCCTTATTCCTTTTAAGTAATTAGATTGCATCGAAGGGTCTCCCCCTAGCTAGGTGTAATTTAATTTTTAATCAATACAATTTCTCTTTTAAAAAAAAAAAGGTGTGCGTTGTTCTTGAAACCCTGTTCTTGGGCTCTCTGGATGCGTGCACACAAACATGTATATGTATTTATAAGATATGTATATGAATTTTTTTATATACATTTGTCTATAGGTGTATTTGTCCATGTATTTGTTTATTTTGTCAAGAAGTTCGGCGATTGTTGATGACGCTTCTTTTGGCTGCAGTCTGTCCTAGTCACAGTTGACCGCCATGAATGGTATGCCCCTCCTCAGATATACACTCGTGATGATGCTTCTGGTTTATGGACAGCAAAGCCTGCTTTGCCACCTGACTCCCCACTTTTATCATCTGCCATCAATAATGTTGGACAAGGTCTAGCAGACCACACACTTTCATCAGATGCTAGTGAGGCTAGTGCAATGGAACATGTCCGTCATGCAATCGGCCAAGAGTCTACTGATGGTGTTACCAGTATGGAAACTAGTTATGAACATGTCGCTGAGGGCCAAGCTTCTAGGGATGAATCTGATTTTGGAACAAAAAAGCGGCGGGTGGAGGAGAATTCATCTGCTGATGGACTTGTCATTGCTGATGGTTCTTTACATGAACCCAGAGAAGTGGGATTGGAGGACTCAAGAACCTTGGAAGATGCAGTTTTAAGAGATTATCAAGGTGCAGCAGCTGCCGCAGCTAATGCTTCAGTTGCTGAGCGTGTGATAGAGCCTACTCTTGTAATGCTCGAGGTACTTTGTCAAGGACTCCCGATACTGTGGCTTGCCATGCTTTTACTCACTATAATTTTGTTTATTCATCTTCTTTCTGTTTAAGTGAACTTTCATCTGTGAAAATATTGCATATGGATTGTTGCTGGATGAGATTAAACATTTAAATTGGATGCCAAGGCATACCTGGGTGATTATGGATGAACCCAAAGGGAGGAGTGTTAAGCACATAACACTTTTGAGCTCCAACATTTATCGACTAGACTTTATTATATATTCTGTTACTACTACTGTTTGTGTTTTCTGTGCATGATATGTCTGCTAGTTGACAATAATGTCCCATGTATATTGTAGGAAAAAAATTATTGTTGTAACGAGTGGAACAAGGGATATAAAAAATTTTTCTGATTTTTTTGGCTGCCATTAGTCTTATATTATTTTCTTTCTTTGTTGTTCCTTATTTAACCATTTTTTAGCTAGGACCTTTGGTGATTCATAAGGTTAATATGAAAATTTTGTCTCAACTTTTTAAAGTTTACATCTTATATCCGTGAGAGGTGCAATATTTAGACTTGCACAATGGAGTGATGTAGATATTAGGTTCAATGCTCTGTTATCATTTCAGGTTTTCTTTCAGTTTCATCTGGAAGACTACAAGTATTAAGTATAAATTTGGTTTGTATCTGTGTGTGTCTCACTTTACTATGTTCTATTCATCATCTTGAGGTTTCAATTGTATAAATGTCCATCATAATCATGTTCATGAATGAGCCTCTCTCTCGTTTTTGATTAAAATTCTTAGAACAACTCATGTTCATGCAGGTTCACGTGCCATCATCATGTATGCTTGATGGTGTCCACTCACAACATTTCTTTGGAACTGGTGTGATCATATACCATTCTCAAACCCTGGGATTAGTTGTAGTTGACAAGAACACTGTTGCAATATCCATGTCCGACGTGATGATTTCTTTTGCTGCCTTTCCAATTGAAATTCCTGGGGAGGTAAAATTATAGATGCTTTTAAGCTTTGAAATTTATTGGTGTATGTTCTTATGGAGCAGACCCCTTTACTTCACAGGTGGTTTTTCTGCATCCAGTACATAACTTTGCTTTTGTTGCTTATGACCCTTCTGCATTGGGAGCTGTTGGTGCTTCTGTGGTTCGTGCTGCTGAACTTCTTCCTGGTAGGTTGAGTTTTTGCATTGATCAATTGGTGTCATCTTGGAATGGCACATTTGGATTCCAAAAGAACATCAGTTTATGCGGGCTGGTTCGCTTCTATCATGTTATTCATAAGTTTGTACATCTACTTGCCGTATTTAAGTAGTTTTACCTTTTTTCTTTTATTTTTGTCCTTATTTGAGCTTGGGGATTATCTTATATTTGCATGAATGGCAAGGTCAAGTGTGTATGTTAAACATCCCGAGAGTTCACCTACTTTCAAACTTCATTTGAATAAGCATCAAAGAAGCCAAGTCAGCTATAATAAGAGCCGTGAGGAAAACCAGACTAGCTCATCAATGTGAGCCAGAGGTCCAGAACAGGGTCACACTATCTGATATGGTTTCTTAAGGTTATAGTGCAGTCAATGGTATCTACCACATAGAACATTATAATTATATCCTTACTCCATTTGTGACAACCAAGGGTTGGTTCAATATAGACCCCTGATGGCCATGACCAGAGCAAGATTTTCTGTCTTGTACCATCACTTTACAGCATGGTTCTGCCAATATACCACGTAGGATTGTTATAATCATAACTTAGATATACGTAGGTATACTATTAGTAGATAAGGTATATACATACCAAGACATGTTATTTATTGTTTGTATTGTATTGTGTGACGAGCATTTTGCTCTATTGATGGTCATAAATGGAAAATCAAGATCGGAGTGATAGTCTTTCATATATTCTCCAGTCTTGTGATTTTCCCACTTGTGGACCAATTGAATGTTTTCTTCAAGTCTTCTCTCTTCTTTTTGAATAAAATCTGACTATAAGTTTCGTGATAGAACCTGCTCTGCGTCGTGGAGATTCAGTCTGTCTTGTGGGGTTGAGTAGGAGCCTACAGGCAACGTCTAGGAAATCTGTTGTCACCAACCCTTGTGCTGCTTTGAATATTGGCTCAGCTGATTGTCCACGGTACAGAGCAACCAATATGGAAGTCATCGAGCTTGATACTGGTAAATTGATGCCCACTGCTTAAGTGGATCTGAACTGTCCTAATAGATTATGTTGCAGTGTGGGCTACTTTAGAGTTAATAATTTTGTTGTTGTATATCCTATGACCTGTTTCAGATTTTGGTAGTACGTTTTCGGGTGTGCTAACTGATGAACATGGAAGGGTTCAAGCTATATGGGGAAGTTTTTCAACTCAGGTTTCTACTCTCTGCTGATTCTTGTGAGCTGTTTTCTTTTTTAATGAAACATGTTGTGATGCATACATTCCTGCTTGCAGCTGAAATATGGCTGTAATTCATCTGAAGATCATCAGTTTGTCCGGGGGATTCCAATATATACCATTAGCCAAGCTCTGTGCAAAATGATATCTGGTGCCAAAGGACCACCTCTTCTTATAAATGGCATCAAAAGGCCCATGCCACTTGTTAGAATTTTGGAGGTTGAACTTTATCCTACTTTGCTTTCCAAGGCTCGGAGTTTTGGACTGAGCGACAGTTGGATTCAGGTACATTTTCGTCCTTATACAAATTTTCTTGTTTCTTTTGATGCCTGTGATACAATTGCATTCAAAATTTGAGATTGAAGCTGAGAGTTATAAATTAGTTAATGTATGAGAAAAATGAAAGCACCCTTGTTGCATGCATGACAAGGTGCTGCTCCCCAACCGCAAGAAGGAATAAATATAGCCCCTTCAAAATCTGTTATGCAACTCTGAATTCTTAATGACTTATTTTTCAACTTTTAAAAGTTCCTTGCAATATATTGAACATCACTTCTTGTAAAACTTGTGATAGAATATGTGAGCATTATCATCATTGTAAGTGAGCTTGGGTTTATCTTTTGTAGGATCTTGTAAAAAAAGATCCTATTAGACGTCAAGTTTTACGGGTTAAAGGTTGTTTGGCGGGATCCAAAGCTGAAAATTTACTAGAACAAGGTGACATGGTTTTAGCAATTAATAAAGAGCCAATTACATGCTATCGTGACATTGAAGATGCTTGCCAGGCATTGGACCTGTGTGATGACAGTGGTGGGAGACTTAACATGACTATTTTTCGTCAGGTAAACCATCGCACCTGTTCATTTTATTTTGTTTTTTTTCCCTCTTCCTTTTTTTTCAGTTACTTTGGCAAAAAAGATCTATAAAAGATCTTTAATATGTGTTCTGGGTATTTGTCAGGGTTGTGAAATTGAACTTCTAGTGGGAACCGATGTGAGGGATGGGAATGGAACCACTCGTGTGATAAATTGGTGCGGATCTATTGTACAGGATCCACACCCAGCCGTGCGTGCTCTTGGATTTCTTCCCGATGAAGGCCATGGTGTATATGTGGCAAGGTAATGTTTGCACTTAAGTTCTAAAAGCCCAAGTCTCTGTCGACTTTGGAGATGATAGGCGTGCACTGGGGAGCTGTATGCATTGTGATGGAATTTTCTAAGCTGTAGAGTTTGCCATATGAGTATTAGGAGTGTTACTAGATGGGCCTTGATATAGACAACCGCCACTGAGCTGGACTGGTAGGATCTATCTCGTATTTCTAAAAGTTAAATGTTTGGATAGGCTGATCTGTGTTAGAAGCTTCTTGTGTAGAACTGTTCAAATTTGTCGGCAGTTACATTATTGCCGTGGACCAATGTCAAACCCCCAGACCCTGTCCAATACTAGCCAATAATGCTGCTCACTGAAGATGATCACCTGCATCTCGTTAATTATCATAGATTTGTGTGCCTCTTTAAATATCTTGCTAAGGTAAATATTTATGACTCATTTTTTTTCAGGTGGTGTCACGGGAGTCCAGTACATAGATATGGTCTATATGCTCTGCAATGGATAGTTGAAGTTAATGGGAAACCAACTCCTGACATAGATGCTTTTGTTGATGTGACAAAGGTATGTCTACCCTCTATTTTCTTGGCACTTAAAAATCTACTGTCTATTTCCATTTGGAGGTCAGGGCACACTTAGGAATTGATGTGGAACAAGCCTGTGGTTGACCTGGGTTATCCATTACCCATCCATTAAAACAAGCTCCCAGCTACTCTGTTTGTTATGACTATTGATCTTTATGCTATTTAGACATTCATTTTTCAAAGCGTGGAAAAATACTTGGGCTAGTAATTTCAATGTTGTGGGTTCAAATTGGTAGGGAGCTACTTTATGGCTATGATTTCAAGTTTTAATTACTTATCCTGTGCACCACTCTGAGCACACACAATTGGGTAATGACTTTTTAAGAGATGTTGAATCATCATTATAGCAAATGTCACATTTTTAATGCTGATATTTTTGTGCCATTACCTTCTTAATGAATTTAAGTATTTAACAGGCATTGGGGCATGAGGAATTTGTTCGTCTAAAGACAGTCCACTTGAATGGGAAGCCTCGAGTGTTTACATTGAAGCAGGATTTGCACTACTGGCCTTTTTGGGAGCTCAGATTTGATCTTGAAACTGCAATGTGGCGCCGTAAGACAATCAAAGCATTAAACTGCATTACTTGATCAAAATTCCCTTCTCGCAAATTCTACAGATAGATACCCTGGAAAAATGGACGTGCAAAATGGAAATTATAATTATTTTGACTTGAATTCGTTAAATCTCATTGGTAGTTTTCCTGCTGTCTAATTGGGTTTTGAGCCGCCGTAGATGTTTATGAAAGAGGATCTTACAAGGCAAGTTGTCTGGCCCTGAGCTTAGCCACTTCTTAGATGTTGTAAATGATAATTATATGGGAGTTTATCTACCGGGGTATTGTATATCTACTCTCTAATAATCACACCTGAATGATTACATGAACCTAAAATAAACACTTTTCATATTTTTTGCCTACTTTCTGATATTCTGTTTGCTTTGTGAAGCTCTGAGCCACCACCCTCTTGGTTTAGCATGTTGGCTTTTGCATATTTGGATCTCACTCCTTGGCTGTCCTATTTCAGTTTTGGAGCTCTGGAAACTAATTTTTTTCGGGACACATAAAGGTGCAGGTGAAACTGTGGAAGCGATGTAGACTAAACTGTTGAAACGATGTTGGCCTGTCTGGGGTGCAACAGAGAAAGCAAACAAGGATGCTGACATGACCTACCATTGTCTTTGGATTAGTGATAAATTTTAATGTTGGATGGTGTTCACCTTCTCTTATTAACAAACAAGATAATTAAAAAATTATAGAAGTAATTAAAGGGCGTCAAAAAATTACAGTGATATAAAAGAAAAAAGTTTCGGGAGTTGACACTCTATTCCCAATGGATCAACCTTATTATAAAAACACTACATTTTCTGAAATTTTGATCCTAAGCCAATTCTCTTGACAGTCCCTTCAGCAACTTGGACGTAACAAAACCAAACCCCCATGCATTCTTCCTTTGTCAAACTAAAACAAAAAGTGGGAAAAACATAGACATGAATAAGCTTGAAGTCCGGATGATCAATCGCATGGAACTATGGAGTGGGGGAGGAGTATACATGTAGTACCACGGAAAACAAGGTAACATGGGGTTTGGAGGGGGCGAGTTAGCATGGTGGTTGTCAGGGCCCGGTGATCCTGGTGGAGGGGGGTTATCAACTGGAGGCGGGTAAAATGGGACAGAAGGCGACGGTGGACAGAGTGGCCCTGGCGGTGGTGGAAATTGTAGGGGTGGGAAGAGTGACGATGGCGGTGGTGGCGTTGATGCATAATTCACTGAGGCATGTGGTTGTGGGAGACTATCATGAGGCTAGGCGCAAGGAGATTTAATTGCCGAAAAAATCAATATCAATACAGCGAAAAGGGTGGTAGAGACTAGTTGGCTGAAATAACCGGCCATAGTCTGAGCTATGAAAAAGCAAAGATGAAGAGATAAGAGAGAAGTTTGTGAGATTCATCTGCTTATTTGTTTTAGTATTATTGGTTAGTAATACCATATCACATTACCATGTGATATCTAATGAATATTTTCTCCTTCTAGGGGTTTCATGTACGTTTGTTTTCTCAACATATTATTCATGGAAATATTGTTTCAGATTCTGCAAGATCTTAGGGCAGAACATACTTTAGCGGAAACTTCAATTAACTGATTTTCATTTTTGGAAACCTCTTGAAGGAAAAGCAACAACGGGCCATTGGCCGGATGACCAATAGGCCTAGCTGGTACACCAAGTTGGCCAATGGACAGGGTCTGAGATTGTTTCGGGCCGAGCCAAAGGCCAAGGCTTAGCCCGGAAGCAATTATTGAAATTTCATGTGCCGGCCCTGCCACCAAGTTGGCCAATGTACAGGGTCTGAGCTTGTTTTGGTCCGAGCCGAAGGTCAGGGCTCAGCCCGGAAGTAATTATTGAAATTTAGAGTACATGAATCAAACTATTTTGAAAATAAATACTAACTGAAGAGAAAAAAAAATGGCCCATGGAGGAATTGGGCCTGAGAACGGCCCAATGATGGGAACTGGGTCAGGAGAGTTTGGCCCAAAATTATGGTCCCACTCGAGTTAAGGCTTCTATGCATCAATTTTATGTGCCGGCCCTGTTCAATCCATGGCAAGCCCTCCCTCCAACTCTATCCATTCATGCTATCACTTTTCGGCGTGATACATTTACTTTTCATCCAATAAAAAGGGGCATGTGTAAGGGTTTTTTTATTTTTATTACTTAATATTTTTATAATTAATGGTAACAAATCATCGAAACAAAAATCTACGGTTGAGATGGATAGTAGGAATTTGAGAAAACAACGAGGGTTCAACAAACTTGTACTTTATATTTTTTGTTTTCATCTCTTTGCCGGCCTGTCCTGATAAAATAAAATAATGATACCTTCCAAAAGGATATTGTATTGATTGTTATTAGAGGTGTCAATCGAATCGTGTCGTATTAGTTTCGTGTTGTATTATTTTTGGTTGTTTTATTTTTGTGTCGTATCACTTTCGGTACGTATCGGGTTTGTGTCAATAATCGTGTTAATAAAAAATTATTTAATTTGAAAGCAACTAATATAATATTATTTAAAAAATTATGAAATTCTTATTTTCTATCTAAAATACTCATTAAATAATCATTTTCTATCTACAGTACCCATTAATCATGTTATTCGTGTCGAACCTTAATTTGACTCATTTATTACTCGTGTCAACGAATCGTGTTATTTTCGGATTCGTGTTCGAATCAATATTTGACACCCTTACTGATTGTTAAAGTATTTGTTTTATTTTATTTTGATTTTTTTTCTTTTGCAGAGGTAGTTCAAGTGCTAACAGGACGAGTTATAAACTTAAACGTTCTAAATTTGGATTTTAGGTTATAAAGAATTTATCTCTCATGAATACTCTAGCCCAGTGTGGATGACTGCTTTTGATCGGATTGAGGAGGGAGAGATGCGCGTAAGTTGGCCTGAATACCCCTAACCTTTGAACCAAAAAAATATAAAATTGTGTTACTTTAGTTTATAAAGTTTTTAATGTGATATAAATAAGCCGGTGGACGAAGAATGTTAAAGTAATAATGGAAAAAGCCGCTTGTGTACTTTTTTCTGCAAATCGGAAAAAATTGCTTCCAATTTAGAATGTAATTGACAAACTGATAAATGGGTAACCAAAAATGATATATCTTCGATATTTTAAGGACCAAAAAATGANTAATAATGGAAAAAGCCGCTTGTGTACTTTTTTCTGCAAATCGGAAAAAATTGCTTGCAATTTAGAATGTAATTGACAAACTGATAAATGGGTAACCAAAAATGATATATCTTCGATATTTTAAGGACCAAAAAAACACTCAAAAGCAATTTTGATTATAAAGATACCCTTCGGGAGGTCAGATCAGTAGATGGCTAAAACTTTATATATTAATCATAAATGGAATAATATTCAAGAAACCATTAACAAAAACAACTCTGCCTACCAACAACATGACGAATGTTGCACCACATCGTGGCCCTGACCTTTTTCTCTTCAGTTTGATCACCATTGTTGATTCCTTTTTTGACTTGGACAGAATAAAGTTAACCCTCTTCATCAATAGTTAAAAAATGCAATATGGGTCGGAGGATCGGATGCATGTAGTTCTGAATGCAACAAAAACTGTTTTCGTGACTTGAATTTGCGGTATATCTATATAATCAAAACCAAAAATAAGGAAAGACCAGCAAAAGCATGCAAGCAATCCATTTCACTGATAGGTTAATACCATCTGCTGATGAAAATCCTGGCGGTGGAGGAGGTTGCAAGTAATAAAATGGAAAATAAGGTAAAATTGGGTCAGGAGGGGGAGGAGCAGGGTAGACATATCCTGGTGTAGGATTATATGGAAAATATGGTGGCGAATAGTACCCGGGCGGAGGAGGATAGTACACTGAACCAGGCGGTGGTGGGGGAGAAACCGTTGGCAGTGGTGGCGAAGGAGGTGGCGGGCAATTTGTTGGGGCGGAGGGTGGGGGCATACAATATGGGCACCCATAAGGTGGCGGTGGCGATGCATATAGTGTTTGATCAGGAAGTGTAGTGTCTGAAGTTGTAAATGCTGGAAAGTTCAATACTTCAATGAAGAACATGAGCACAGAGACTATTTGGGTGAATTTTCTGGCCATGGTACGGATGAAAAATGGCCACAAGAAGGTGAGAATACAGAGAAAACCAATCTTAACAAAGAACTAAGTGATGGGATTGGGGCTTGTTTTGTATGTGAGTTTTTTTTTGGGTGGGGTGGGGTGGGGTGGGGGTAGTGACCTATTTGAAGGATGCAAGCTTTTGTCAGTATGGGTGATTGGAATAACTGAATTATTATTGGAAACTTTGAAAGCAACATTTAATTGAATACTTAATGCTGAAGCATCAAATGGAGTGTAAAATAGAAAACTTTGCTTCTTTTTTTTTTTAGTGAGTGTCCTGTTGGAACTGTGAAGGACTAGGGGAGGGTTCACCTGCCCAATTTGATATCAATATGGACGGAAGTAATGCTACGGGGACTTAATAAGTTCACTTAATTTTCTAATTTAATGTTGTAATAATTGACATAATCGGAGAATTTATGATGACAGTAACAGTTGAAATTTTTTTTTTTTAGTAGCTAAGAGATCAACATGTCATCAGTCCAACAAACTTTTTGAGCGGGAGAGATGAGGCGACATCAAGAGAGAAAAGGTTGTTGGGCTATGTATGTCGTGATAGTCTTGTCTCAATTATGAAGATGCATTTTAAAACTCCGAGGCTACGACAAAGTGGAGATTATCTTGATTGTAGGGACTGGACATCAGATTATTAAGTCTCTGTAATATTATTAATCTTTGGTGGTTGGAGATTCGAATCATCACTAGTGTTGTGACCAGAGATCGTAGATAGACCAGCAAAGCTCATACCATATATTGTGCATGTGAGTGTTGGGTGATATTGGAGTTGATTGAGGACCATAGTCATGCAAGCTGCCCCATGACTAACTATATAGCATGGTCCATAATTTCATGAGAACGACGTCGCAGGACAGTGACCATTTTATGCAATTCGTTAAGGAGCTGGTAGTTAAAGACAGATTCCAAATGAAATGCAAACTGAATGCATCTACTTTCATGAGAACTAATCACAATTTTCCATTTCCCGGTTGCCAAGACCCAAACTTTTCAATGCAACATAGACCTCTTTTTTTGGACTTTTTTTTTTTATTTACAGGCTATTTAAGTTTGCGCCGATTACTTTCTCGAGTTCAGCAGCGACCACCATG